GTTTGTCTCCCGCAAAAAGTGTTGGATATTAATTTCGGTTTATCTATCCGTCCGTCCGTCTGTCTGTAATACTGTTTGCCTGTAGTTCTTTCGTTTCCATGCTTTATCTTGAGAGTCTGAGAGCTTTTGCAATGAAATTTTACACAGCAATTCCTTATGGCGTAAGGAATATCCCTATTGATGTTGAGGTCAAAGGTAAAGTATAAAGGTCGTACATGTAAATTCATACATGTTGTGCATGTATGTCTAACTTTCAATTCCTGGTGATACAATGTATCTAAAGAAGCCTTTGAGTTTTTTAATGCCCCCGTAAACGACATTTTGAGGGTATATAGTTTTTGTCGTGTCTGTCCGTCTGTCTGTCTCTCTGTCTGTATAGCTGTCTGTTTGTCCATAAAAACTTTAACCTTGCCAACCTTGCCCTTAACTTTTGATTTAGTGAAGCTATGACTTTTATATTTCACATGTGTATTCCTTGTGACAAGACATTTCTTTAGGGATCTCCAAATATGAACTACTGACCTTGACCTTGGAGTTTGACCAATTTTTACACTAAAATTCCAAACTTTAACTTTGGCCATATCGTTTGAACAGTAGATACCAGGACTTTTATACATATATAATATATGAATATTTTTTCTAAAAGAACCTTACAAAGATAACCAACAACTTTGACCTTTTGACCATGACCTTGGATATTTCTGTACTTATGAAAAAACTTAAACTTTGGCCATAACTTTTGAACGGTAAGGGCTAGGGCTTTCATCCTTCATTTATATAATCTAGCTTGTGAAAAGACGCTTTATTGGATTTATATTAAGAACTGTGACCCTTTGACCTTGACCTTGGAGTTTGACCTACCTTTACAAACAACCTTGACCAAATTTTTTTAGGGTTACGACTAGGGCTTTCTTACGTCAACTATTATATTCTTGTGATAAGACCTTTCATTTGATATCAAGAACTTTAACCCTTTGACCTTGACCTTGGAGTTTGACCAACTTTTACACTAAAATTCCAAACTTTAACTTTGGCCATATCTTTTGAACAGTAGATATCAGTACTTTTGTACTTCATATATATTTTTTTCTGACAGGACCTTTCACTGATAATCAACAACTTTGACCTTTTGACCAGGACTTTGGAGATTTCCGTACTTATGAAAAAACTTAAACTTTAGCCATAGCTTTTGAACGGTAAGGGCTAGGGCTTTCATCCTTCATTTATATTATTCTTCGTTTATGATAAGACGCTTTATTGGATCTATCTAAAGAACTGTAACCCGTTGACCTTGACCTTGGAGTTTGACCTACTTTTAAACTACTTCCTTGACAAAAATTTTTGGAGTGTTACCACTAGGGCTTTTGTACCTCACATATTTAATTCTTGTGATAAGACCTTTCATTTAATATCAAGAGCTTTAACCCTTTGACCTTGACCTTGGAGTTTGAATCATTTTTACTCAAAAATTCAAACTTTTACTTTCACCCTAATTTTTAAACGATAGTTACCTGGGATTTCATATTTTAAATATCAGTTCTTTGTGTTAAAACCTTCTATCATTTGAAAGCAACAATTTTGACCTTTTCACCTTGGAGATTTCTGTACTTACGAAAAAACTTTAACCTTGGCCATAACTTTTGAATGGTAAGGGCCAGCACTTTCATACTTCCCATATGTAATCTTCGAGACATGGCCTTTCTTTAGAAAACAACAACCTTGACCCTTTGATCTTGACCCCGTAGTTTATCCTTCCTTTAAAACGTTAACCTTGGTCATAACCTTTGAACAGGTCGTGATTGGGTTTTAAATTTCACATTTGAATTTTTTTTGTGAAAAGGCCTTACTTTAGGTACCAACATATTTGATCTGTATTTGAGAAAACTTAATTAACCATCGCTATGTTGTCATACGGGGAGGGGGGATCTTGTTTTTGATTAAATTTTTATACTATGTCCCTCCAGCCCTTCAAAGAGTGCTCCATCCTCTCCACACCAACCCCTACCGCGTCAGGACATTTTCTCCCTTTTTCTAAAGAGAGAGACTCAGATTCTCTAAATTAGCTGGTTGTTATTCAATTAAATAAATTGATGCTATGTACCTCAGACTATATAAAGTGTTAAAAAGTACAGTTGTAATGTGAAGGAATTGAATAAAATCGAGGTAATTTGAAAAAAAGGGGGTCACCGATAAGAACTAACAAGAATAATTTCGGTTCCATCATTTAATTTCAAATAGATATTGACCTATTGACGAAAAATGGCATTTTGTTTTTATATTTTTCAAGATCGGGTTCGTGCTGCACTTTGCCATTTGTTAGTTTCTCAGACACTGAATATATGAGTTTATGGTAGAAAATGGTTTCAAACGAGATTGTAAAACAGGCAAATCAACTTAATTCTATAAGATTTCATTCATAAACTAGTTTTCACCGATTTTTACCAATTTTCATAAACAAGGCCTACAGGAAAAGGGGATTCCGGTAGGGGACATGTATTGCTTATGCACTACTCTCAGAATGCTTGTTAAAGATTAGAAAAAAATCATCATAAAAGTAATAAAAAGGTAAATAGACGTTGCAAGCAGTGATGAATCTTTTAAAATCCAAAAACAATTTATAAGTTTGAGAACAGAGTGTAAAACAGAGATGACTAGTAATTCGAGAGGTGAAATGAGATGCTGTTTTTTTTTTTTACAGAAATCACACACTCTGAGAGCACCAAGTATTGATGATATAGACAAAACATTCCAACGTTCAATCTTATTTTTCAAAAGAAGAGCTAGGATTTTGGTATGAAAAAAAGAACAAGTCTTACTATGACCCAATGAAAGGTTACATCAACAGATCACTGTTAGACCAAATACTTAACGAAAAGTTGACTTTCAAAACAATTGGTTGATATCCCTGTAACATCAAATTATTTGTAAGTAGCCTGTCTTGTTTAATAGATGGTACTTAGACCATACTCCTGAGATTCGAATGAGTATACGGATACCCAAATACCATAAACAGATGACAAGGAATATCACTCTATAAGTAAAGACGGTTGATGATGGAAATTCCGTCATTTCGTTTGTCACATAATTTAGATTTTAGTTGATCGTTATCGAATTAAGTCAGTATAACATTAAAATGTGAAGTGTATGTTATGAGTGTACGATGATCAAACGATGAGACAGCGATAAGCGATCGTAAACTAAACACAGAAAGGGATATCAAGTAATATCTGAAGAAAATAATTCAAAACATGTCTAAATATTTAAATGTTGTCTATAAATTCTATTAAGATTTTCTCTTTGTATATCTATCGCTGAAATTCGTCTGAAAAAAAAATCATTCAGAAGATAATATTAAACTTTAACTTACTTGGCTAGGTAGACCATTTACACTTTCAACTTTTAAGATGCATTTAAGTTGTATAACATCACCCGGTCTTTCTCCGCTGCTTTTAACAATAGTCAAGTCCTGAATTTTCTTTGGAGATTGCCCTATATCATAAAGATTTTGATTTGAGATAAATGGTGTTCTTTCAAATAGAATTTATTTGCATATACATATGCAAAATATTGATTTTTTTTTTACATTTGGGTAGAAAATACGTAGCTGAAAAGTTAGATTTTTCTTATTTCTAATTAATGGTTTATAACTTAAGTTATACATACTTGAATATACAGAAGTCGTTTTGTAATTTATAAATGGTGGATAATAAAATAAATTGAATACAGATTGTACTACATGTATTTACTACATATAGTATGAAATGAATAATAAACTCGTCATTATATATTATAACGTTCTATACTCATAAAATCTCACCTTTGGTCGATAGAATACTTTTCTCCAAACTTTGGGAAATTTTACTTCCGCTGGACACCCTACATCGGAAGATGGCGTAGAGGTTTGGGTCAATTAAACATCTGTTGTGTGTTAATGACAATACAATGCTTGCCGTACATGATAAATATGGCCTTTGATAACATCTATACGAGAATTTGGAATAACTTGCCAAGTTCCTGTCCGTGTTGAGGATGTAGGATCCTGTGACGTTAGTAATTGCAACTTCTTTCCAGTCTTCCTTGGAGTTGTTTTGTCGGATTTCCATAATCATTTCAGGATTAATATTATAACTATCAATAAAATCATCGTCGTCTGCATCGTAGTCGCAGAAAATTGTAACGTTATTTCCACCAATTGTAGTTGAAGGGCTTGTATACAAGTCCCAATACCCTGTATGCATAACATTACAGATTTCGAGTGAATGTTAAAAATTAAACACTTTTTCTAAAAAGAAAATTGAAATCTTAAAGGACAAAAATGTTGACTTACCTTTACAAAATGGACAGAACAAGAAAAACGAAATCACCACATACATGTGCATAGCTAACTAAAGGAAGTAAAATATTTGCAATGTCCTTGAACTGAACTGATAAAAATATCTTTGTAAATGTTTTAACTGGTTTTCCATTGAGATTTATAAAATGATTGCACTGGTTGTTCTAATTATTGAGGATATGCTTTTCAAGCCTGACTCTTTGCATATTAGCAGAAATAAATGTGCTTCAAATTTAACGAAAAGTATTGAAAGTTAAGGTTTTTACCAATTTATTTCAAACGTAAATATTTTAATAAAATTATCATTTTTTAATTGGGAATCATGTAAACGCATGGTCAATTTCAGTGTCATTAACTAGGTCTTTTTAACTAGGTCTTTTATATGAGTCATGATGACACATTTACGTTAGAGCTTAAAACATAGAATGTTTCAGAACAAATAGTATTTTTAAAATTCTGATAAGATGTTGATAAATTAACTTTTTATGCTCCCATATTCAAAGACTCGGGGGTATTTAGCTTTTGCCATGTTCATCCTTCTGTCTGTCTGTCTGTCTGTTTGTCCGCAAAAACTTTAACCTTGCTAACGTGTGATTTAGTGGAGCAATGCCTTTCATATTTCACTTTTGTATTCCCTGTGCCTACATAGTGGCATTGTGCACCAACTATTTTATTTTTTGATCAGACACATATTTAGATTTCGTATAACCAAACATTGATATTCCCATTCTTTCTATAATATCTAATGATACTTACACAGATTCTTTATTACATAATGTTACTGTATTCTTCTATTTTACTTTTTATTCGACACTTATTTTGGGTCTTCTAGATCAAGAAATGGACTTCGCCATTATTATTATAATCATGTGGTAGGCAGGGTATCAATGTATCAATTAGTGAACTCACTACTAACAGCACCTCTAGTTTATGCTATTTGTTGAAAATCTTAACTTGTTCAATACAGGTCTGATTTTGATACTAGAACTAGTATTGTCAAAACTTTGTATCTTCTCTTTAATTCATTTTAAATCAAATAACATTGGGCAATTAACTAATTACTGTATAACGTAGCAAATATATCTTATCTGAGAACCATCCACAAGCAATTTAAGCTGAAAAATATGCATTATTCACGATTTACTTTGAAATGAGGAAATTATTTTGACAAGCGTTAATCATAAAAACAATTCTAACTTTGTAAACACTGAATAATTTGTAACCAGTTGGATACCAGTACTGAAAAACTTCCTTATTGCGGAATATCCTTTATAACTCAATTTAATATATATATATATATATATATATATATATATATATATATATATATATATATATATATATATATATATATATATATATATATATATATATATATATATATATATATATATATATATATATATATATATATTCTCTAAGAGGCATTCATTGTTTTACTCTCTCTCTCTAAAAAAAAAAATATCTTTCAATCAGAAAAAAACTCTTAAGTTCAATAAGTGAACATGTAAACTCCCCCTTTTCTTACATGTATTATCCGTGTTGTCCATTATTATGTTGAAAGTGAGAAAAAATACTACGTCATTGATAATTTATAATGAACTTGGTCGCTTACCTCTTTTTATTCAAAGAAAAGTTTGTATTATAAAGTTTTGGCTAAAACTATTGGAGTCAGAAAACTGCATATTAAAAAGTATTTACCAAGATATGCTTGAAAGAATTGAGAAAAGTTCTTGAACAAATTATAACTGGTTACTTAATGTAAAATACTTATTATTTTCAGCAGGATTTGGAGACGTTTGGTATTGTCAAAATATTACAAACAAAATGTATTTTTAAACATTTTTAAACAAAGATTGACTGACTGTTTCCAACAAGAATGTGATGCTTTTTTTTCTTCGTTTTCAAAGTGTTTTGTGTATAGGTATTTAACAAATAAACTGTGCATGCAATCCTATTTAATGAAACCAATTCCATCCAAGTATATTCAATTGATTACAAAATATAGATTAAGTGCACATTTATTAATGATTGAGAAGGGAAGATTTACTTATGTTCCTAGGGAGAATAGATTTTGTTTTTGTTGTCAGATGAAGGTTGAAGATGAGTATCATTTTATTTCAAAATGTCCACTTTATCATGAGAACAGGAAATTGTATATTAAAAAGTATTATTGGTATAGACCTAGCATGTATAAACTATTACAATTATTATCAACTGAAAATGTGAGTGAATTTTGTAATATAGGGAAATTCCTCCAAGAATCAGAAGCACTTAGAGATTTACATATGTAAACTGAGTATTTGTTCTAGACATGTACGTTTGGTTGGAAATATTGTATACAACAAGCAGTATTAACTTAAAAGAAGTATATGTTAACATTTCATTTATGTATATTAATTCTGTGCTTTACATCCTGTATTTCGTAATTGGAAATATTGTATACAACAAACAGTATTAACTTAAAAAAGAAGTATATGTTAACATTTCATTTATGTATATTAATCCTGTGCTTTACATCCTGTATTTTGTAATTAAGTTATCTGATAAGTCATATGACTTAAGGAATAAATAAACAAGATATAAAACAAGATCATACAAATGTACTTGATAAATAAAATATTACTTATAATTGTGTTTTGTCATGAAATGATAATGGATATCTAGCAAATGGCAACCAAAATGTTTTTGTAGGGGGATTTTTATTATTAATTACTTTCATCGTCCCTTAAATATAGGTTAGGTCGTACATGTATAGGGGAAGTCATTTACTAGGAGCTTCCCTTGTAAATTGCATCCCCTGATACACCATTCAGACTTAAATCGAATTTTATCTTAACTTTAGAATGAATCAACTCTAAACATATCTAGAAAAATTGGAAGAATGTTTCCCGTTGATTAGCAACCACGATATGTCTTCTGTTTAAGTTTAAACACCACCCATAGCTACGAAAAACCGAACGTGCTCCAAAATGCCAACTCTTTCGCTTAATAATCTGAAAAATATAGGCCTTAATTATCTTCTTTATCAAGTTTTACAGTTTATATTACATCCATTAAGGTATCATTCATGTAAATTATCAAACGGCTTAATTTAAAATCTCGCGAAATGGCTTGTTCTACGATCAAAACCCTTATCCATGTTATATATCATCTGGAAGTTGTAGATCTAGAACGAGACTAGTATTGTACATCCCAAGAAACGTCATTCAGGTAATTTTATCAAAAACAGAGCTTAAAATTACCTGCCAATGGTTCTGCCAAAACTTTCAGATCTGGATGTTTATATCTCCAGCATCTAAATAATGTTAATACGTCGGGTCATAAAAAAGATTTGGACATATTTAATAATATGTAGAATGATCAAATAAATATGGTACCAAAAACCATAAAAAATTCAAAGAAATGTTGAAAAATAGCTTGAAAGATTGAAAAATTGCAAATTACCATTAAATACAAATCCTTTATATGATCATCTGGTGTCAATGCCTTTGAGTTTGACATAAATAGTGGCCACCTTGCAAAAAAATGTGTTTACATTATTAAGTTGCATGTCGTCATTGTTGCATGTCATACATTTTTCTAAATTTAACATAACATTGCATGTCAACATTAAGTTGCATAATATTCCTTTTGGTGTTAACATTTATAAGTTGCATGTGTATAAATAAGTTGCATGTCGACTATTTATCTTGCATGTGAACTATCACATTATGTTGCATGTCAACATGGAAAGTTGCATGTCAATATATTTTATTTCACATTAACATGTTTAAACATGTTGGATGTCACATGTCATATTTTCCTTTTTGAAGATTTTTTATAATATGTATTTGATTGCAATTTTCTTGCATGTTAACATATTTATGTTGCATGTCCCTCTCCATATTTATCTTGATGTCATTATTTGATTAACTTGCACACAAAGGGCAATTGTTTTGAGTTTTGACATTTTAGACAAAATTCATACTAATGGTACGTTCAAATTGAATTCAGAGAATGAGAAATATATTTTTTTTGCTAAGATTACATGTATATTTCTCACATGAGTGTAATAATACGGTGAATACCGGAAGACAAATGCTCATATCAAACGTTCTTCGCCAGACCCATGTACCTGAAGAAGGTATGTTTTTTATCTAAGGTTTGTTACCTGGTGAATTACCTGGTGAATCCATTGCTTGCAACACATAAACATTTATTTCAAAAGTAAAATTTATGATTTTTACTTTGCTTTTTAAAAAGAAAAGTAAATGCTAACTTATATTTATGTTTTGGAATTCATCAGGTACATCAAGCGATTTAATACTTATGACATTAGTTCAGAATCTTTTAAAAAATTATTACTAATTTTGTAATAGAGGGATGCATACTAGTATTTAACTTGCTCTATCTGAGACTTAAAATTTCATGAAAATGAATTTGCACATCATTTTAAAACAGACACAAACATTGAATCCGACAATAACGTTCAGCACAATCTTTTCTCTTCTTCATTAGAGCTAAGGTTAAAAGGAGATGGCAAATTTCGCTTAGCAACAAATTACAATATGTAGATGAAGAAAAACGAATAAAAAGAGCAATAGTATTCATTTATTGTTACTGAACGTGACATAAAACAACAATTCTAAAAGCATATTTTTGTTATATATTTAATGGTGAAAACACAAATGAAATTAAAGAAAAAGAATTTCAAAATACTAGTAATTGTTAAAATACTGTATTGATAGAGTTTCCTTATTTTCGAATTTAGTACATCTATTATGATTGTGCAGAAACACCCTAAACAAATTTAGAAAATGAGTTTTCTGAATCTGTTCTTGAGAAGTTCAAGACTGACGAGGTAATTGTGTCCTCAGGAAAAGGAAGATCCTCTTTGAAGGCTTTACTAAATATCTCAGCCAGATCTTTTCTGTTGATGATAATTTATCCTTTATGAATTCTTACAATTAAACAGAAATCTTTTACCACCGATTCACCATGCACAAGGTCCTTTCCAAGAATCTATATATGATTGTTAGACGGGGTCATGTGACCCTGTAAATTTGTTTACTGTCACTGTCGAGGCTTCAAACCGGAAGCGTTGGGAGAACACATAAATCAAATCTAGGTACGCTATATGAAAGAGTGCGGACATTGTTTTGATCGAAATACAAACATTCTTTATCAAACTGAGGAAATTATGTTAACTTTTAAAACTCAAATTAATAGAGCACAAATTAAATTAATAGAGCATTTCGAAAATTTAAACTAAAAATATTAATTGTAAATCACATTACATAGGAGTCAGAACCAGGAGGGGGGAGGTAGGGGGGCTTAGCTCCCCCTTTTTTTTTGCATAGATAGACAAAATATAGGGATTGAACATTGGGGCGTACGTTAAGCCCCCCCCCACACTTTTAATAGGCACGTTGCAGATTAGGTCAAAAAGGGGTAAGTGGAAGTGTATAGAAAAAAAATTGGTATTGAAAGTAGTTTGATCCTCGATTCCCCAGCACCGCCCCACGAAATAGGATTTTCGCCTTTGGACACATTTTCCTTTATTTTAAATTGTCAAGTTTTTTTGTGATAGGTTTGATTTTTTTTCTTTTCACTTAGCCCCCACTTTCAATTTGCTTCCGATGCACTAGAAACAAAGTTACGACTGCGTACGCATAATCCATTGTTTACTTCTTGTTTTTACTTACTTTCTGATTCTTACTCTACTATGCTTAGAACCTCCCCAAGACGAAGCAATCTAAAGGTCAATTCTTTACCAGGGTTATCTGCTTCAAAGAGTTCCTGCTTTATGGAGATTGGGAGATCCATCTATAGTGCGAATAGACCTGCCTCGTCCAGAGTAAAACATTTACAAAGTGCATTTATACTGGAAGGGTTCAATACAGAATATGTAACTAAAATATAAAAGGGATCATAATTTTGGAGATTGTATGTTTGCATGAAATTTGAACAAAATAAAATAAGCAAAACAAAAATTTAAACAGGAAAGTGGGTATATTTTATTTTTTCAAAAGCATTTTATATAAAAGATTTTGTCTCCTAATGCTATAAATATTTTTTTTAACATGATAATTTTAAAATAATATTTCCTTAGATATAGCTTCTCCTGGAAATCAAAAGCATTTTTCTAAATTGTTTCATATATAGTAAAATGAATATTTTCATTTTATTTGATGAAAGATGGAATTATTTTATTCTCCAAAAATAGGAAAACCAAAATATCTGTAGTAATATTGTTGCCATGACAATGGGAAAAGAACAGGGCTTCAATGTTATAAAAAAAAAAACAAAAATCTTTATCACTCTATAGGAAAATCTACAACCTTTGCTAAAAATGAATATTTATTTTAATTTAATTTCTTATTTTAATTATATCTATACAATAAAATTTGCAGGCAACTTTAGTTTAGAAACATAACCCATGGTTAAAATGTGTGAAAACAATATTTAAAAGCTTTTTTGAAGGACTGTCTTACTTTCAGTGTTTTCCATTATATTGGTCTTATGGGTTCTGATCAAAGCTTATTCATAATTTTTTCATTATGATAGAGAGTAAATGCACATTCAATTTGCAAAATTTTAAATTCCATATCAAACAAAACCTGTAGCATCATGTTTGGGATGGGGGGGTGTATGATCACCTTGTTCACCCATCTTTGTATGTAAAATTTTGACTGTCCATAACATTTCAAATGAAGTGTCACTGAAAATTCATACTTTATTAAAATTGCTTATGATCAGTTTTGTGTCCAAAACTTGACCCCACACCAAGTTCAAGCACTTTCAAAAAAAGTGCCCAAAAAAGCTAATACATTTATTAAAATTGCAATATTTTGGCTATACAACATTTATCCTTTGCTTTTGTAAAAGAAAAGCTATATTTTTCAATTTTGTAATGAATCCTAATTAATATCTCTCTACATATTCCTATGTAAAACATTTATCAACCATTGTGGCCCCACATCATAGTCACATCTGTAGAAAATATATGAAGAAACTTGAATATACACTACCTGAAATTTAACATAAATTTCATAATCAAGCATTATATTGCACTAACATATAAATTGAATAGTTGTTTTTTTTTCTATTCAAATTGACTGAATTGATTGCAATAATTGTCATTAAAATTTTATTTTTTCAAAAGCATTTGGTATATAAAAGATTTTGTCTTACCTAATGCTAAAACATAATTTTTGTTTAACGTATGAAGGGACTGATTTCCAAGGAAAATCATTTCCTTAGCAACGGGTTCATAAATTCTTATGGAAATCAATGATTTTTAGCTATTTTTCTATGAATATGTTTTCTGAACGTGATAAGATAAGGTATTTTGGTTACCTTATTTGATGAAAGATGGAATTATTTTATTCTCCAAAAATAGGAAAACCAAAATATCTGTAGTAATATTGTTGCCATGACAATGGGAAAAGAACAGGGCTTCAATGCGTATTAATTTTGAAAAAAATACATATGTTTATCACTCTATACGCAAAATCTACAACCACTGCTGGAAAAATGAATGATGTGATCTTGTTTGGGGTTATCTATATGTCATATCTATACAATAAAATTTGCAGGCAACTTTAGTAGAAAAGAGTTACAAATGGTTAAAATGTGTGACAATCTGGCATTTAAAAGCTTTTTTGAAGGGTTGGGGGTAAATTGAATACAGTGTCCATTATATTGGTCATATGGGTTCTGATCAAAGCTTATTAATAATTTTTTCATTGATGATAAATAAATGCACATTCAATTTGCAAAAGGAATTTTATATTCCTCACAAACAAAACCTGGAAAAGGGGGGGGGGTGTATAGGAATCACCTTGTTCACCCATCCATATGTATGTAAAATTTTGACTTGTCCATAACATTTCAAATGAAGTGTCACTGAAAATTCATACTTGATATTAAAATTGCTTATGATCAAGAGATGTGTCCAAAACTTGACGCGAGGTCATTTGAACAAGTTCAAGCACTACTGGACGAAAAAAAGTGCTGGGAATCCAAAAAAGCTAATACATTTATTAAAATTGCTATACTTTGACGTCAATATACAACATTTATCCTAATTTTATAAAATGATATAAAGCTAAAATGTTTTTATTATATATTTGCAATGAATGTTCTTAAATTATAAGTCTAGATCTTCGTAGTTTTGTTGTTCTTCTTCAATGTGCAGCTCATCATAGTCACATCTGTAGAAAATATATGAAGAATATTTCTCAAATAGAACTACTGAAGTTAAAGTAAATTTCATAATCAAGCATTATATTGCACTAACATATAAATTGAATAGTTGTTTTTTTTTCTATTCAAATTGACTGAATTGATTGCAATAATTGTCATTAAAATATCCGTTAGTGTTCATCTATCAAATTAAGATACCTCAAAATGAGATGAATTTTACAAAAAGAAGAACCAAACTATTTTATGCATTAAAAAATAGAATAATTAAACTTTCATTTCAAAGTACAATATCTATTGACCCAGAAATTGATTTTTTTAAATGATGACTTTAAAATTCTTGTTATCTCATGTTTCCTCTTTTCCGCTCTCATTGAGATCACTCAGTGGGTTTTGTTATGATATCAAACAGATGTGACGTAACCATGGGTTTTGTGTGAGAGTAATGAAGTAAAATTAAGTGAATTCTTGTATAAAACACCGTAAAAACATTTATAATGATGTATAATATTTAGGATATAATGAATATTCTATTGTATGTGGTGGATTATAATTTTAATATCCAACTCCTTGTGTGTTTTCTATCACCTCGACAAGACTTGGGGATAATAAATACACAGTGTGCTGGATAAAAAACTTATTCACGCACATATCATAGTGAATCCTATGTCACTCACATTTGTGTTTCACTTTTTTGTTTCAATTTTCCTCCTTCATTCAAACTCTCATCTTTCAAAAATTCGTTTTGATTAGCACTTTGCCTATGAACTGCCATAGTGCATTCTGGTTCTTCATAAACCCCCCTAGAATAAGAAAAAAATATTTTTAATACTAATTGAGCTGCACTGGTGTTCAGTAATTTTAAAATTAAGGATATGGTGGAATTACGTTAAAGCTCAGTTATACTTACTGTGAGTTATCTTCTGAGCCTTTTTCATCTTTACACTCTGTACGTATATATATAAATGTGAAGTCTTTTTAAAACATCTTAAAAATATTAATAATATGTGGAAAAATATGAATCTGATATGAAAAACAAAGGAAACAGACAAGAAAAACACGACATGGGGAAAAAACAAACACTTAAAGAAATAAAGTAATATGAATGAACATTAAAACGTCATTAAAACACAGGAACATAAAGATTTACCTCAATTTGTATTATTTTCCAATTAAATTTAAATAATGCTTTATTAAAGATGCATATACAAAATAAAATGTCATAGAAAATATTATATATATTAAACAAGTAACTGAATCATAAATTATAAAACTACCTGTCTTCTGTTCACCAATCTCAGAATTTTGTTTAATTGGCTCTTCAATATATCGTTTGCTTGATTGTGATATACTGTAAAAAGTGATTTTTGAATAGTTGAATAAATTAAATGGAAATCATCTTATTGATAAAATTATCACATTGTATTACAAACATAGTAAACATATAAAAGGTAGCTGCTTGTTATATCTTAATTTTTTTCTTAGGTAAATTTTGCATGAAAACTGTTATTGATATTTATCACTATATATATCTATATTTGTGTTTCTTGTTAGAAAAAGTACCTTTCTGAGGCCTTTGATTGAGACTGCACTGAAAAAACAGTACAAAATGATACTTAGGTTCAAGGGTCATCCATCAATTAAAGGACGCGTTTAAGATATGAAAAAAATATTACTTTAAAATCTTGTTTTGCATTTATCTGAAGGCTCTTTTCCGCTCTCATTGAAATAGTAAAAGAAAAAAAATCCGATTTAATTATACGAGAACTAAAGTGGTTTATTTCGTCTCTATCTTTGAATGCAAAATAACCTGAGTTTACATTGTCCACGTCCTCTGGCAGTTGAAATCGGTTGTTGCTCCTGAAGTATATGCAGATTTTTAACATTTCAATTATATATAATAGTTTCTAAGTAGTATCAAGCAATCAAACGTATCTATATGATTTTTAAATCACTTTAGAAATGAATTCAATTACACATTCTGCATTATATGAATAAAATATTTAAAACAAACTGTTAAACTGTCACGGGTCTGTAATTCACCTACCAATGATTACATGATGATTGTACGTACCTTTCAATCTTGATCACAACTCCTAAAATATGTTAATTAAAATGATAAATGAAGGTTTTCATAAAGCTTGCCAGTATATGTTTACCTTTGTTTAATTTTCGTCTATTTTAAAATATAGGCAAAAGGAATTACTTTGATATTAATGTGTATTAAGAGCCTATCTAGTTTATTCTAAACCAAATTATTATAATTTATCTTATGGCTATTCGTCAGAGTATACCTCTGCATTTAAAACTAAACATAAAAGACAAACCAAATATTGTCAATTCTCCTCTTCTGCAGATTACAATCACAAGAATAATTACTGTGATTAAAATCAAACACAGAAAGAAGGATAAAACGACTACAGAGGTAGTACTATCCCTATCAGAAGACTTCATTTGTTGAGCTGTTTGAGGGGCTGAAATCAAGGAGAGGCGATTCTATAGAGTATAAAGTATTCAAATTAATAATATTAAATTTTTAAAAATGTATAGATTCTTTACCTCACGGATTTTTTTTTACTATCAGCTGTATCAGTAGTCTGATATTAACTTATCAGTTCTCAGATGATATTGAAGAATAAAAATTTTCTTCATAAAAAATAATATTCTTTTTTCGGTAAAGTCCAAAGCTCTATTTAGAATTAAAGAAAACAAATTATTATTCAAGTATTTAAAAAAAATAAGTTATATATGTACCATTTATACGAACTGTAAGTCTTGAAAAACTTAATCCTGATCCACAGGGACTGTAAGAGGAAGTAGAAACTTCACAGAAAAAATGAACAACCTTGTCGAACTCCGTTATATGATAGGTTATTCGACTAAACATTATCATTTCCCCACCACTTTTATTTGTTGATAGATTTATTTCGTCTTCTTGTGTGACAATTTTTGTCCAGTTATCTGTGTATCTCTTCTTACCGCACCAGTTTATCGCCTACGAGATAAAAGATGAGAGAAGAAATAAAATATGAAAAGACATTCAAATTTATGAATTAACCCGTTCATAGTTAAAATCATAATCTCATTTTCTTTTGATTGTTTATTCAAGGGATATTGAAATTCACAAGAGGGTACAACCGATAATGAAAATAAAACATATCATTAACTATCCATGTGTCCCTCACAATCTTATTCTTTTCGCCATACAGTTCTTTATAATGCAAGTATATTACTCAACCCTCCAAAATTGTTAGCCCTTAGTACGTCGATAAAGGCTGAAGCATTCCACTGATACTTTCAAACTCTGCCTTCAATTTACTCACAAGTATACTCGATCGGAGATAAACATGACAAAAGTCAATCGGTTGGTTTGTGTGACTGTTTGCAATAAATCATTAAAAAACACAACTAAATTTTACTGTGAGTGTCAAAGACGGTGTCCTCGAATAAGAGTAAGAATGGTAAATCTCAAAAGCTTACAAAACTACACAAATTGGTTTCATTCATTTGTTATTAATGTTATCTTAATTGTTGTTTAATATAAATATGTACCTTAATATTTATATAGCTTGCAGATTGGATAATTGCTTCTAAAACTGGCGCTTTTCCGCGCCAAAGTCAAGAGACATTATTCAATTTCCTCTCTGACGATAGAAAATGCTTTACAAGTGAAAAAAAATTAAGAAATAAACAATCTAGATACTTAGTAAATATCGAAATCGGTGTGCATTATGTGATTCCGAAAGTTTTGTTTGCATAACATGTAATTTATAATTTGCACGTGATTTCTGCCCTTATTTCTTTATCTCTTGACGCAATACATTTCAATGTTGTTAATTGTGAAGGCTCTAATGCATATTAACCAGGAAGCACATCTTCCCATTTCTACAATTTCCAACTACGCAGTAAAAAAAAGCTAGTTGTCTCAAAATTCTCTAGAGGGACGTTAAACAAGACACAAACAAACAAACAAACAATAATTAATAGATTACCTGTCCGTTATATGTGAACGAGGAAGCGCTGCAAAACAAATGAATTGTTCTTCCAAATCCCTGAGTGGTGAAATTTTGTTCGTCAACAACCCCATTGTCGTCGTACATCAAGATGGGAGATACTTTCCACTGCCCATTTGCTTTTTAAAATTAAAATGATAGTGAGAAGGTGAAGAATAATCATAAAGTAAATTTAACAATGAAACACTTCTCAGCTGAATCATAATTGTTATTAAAATAATCACCTTCAGTCAAAGTTTTTGTTTTTATGAATAACGTCGAATTTGCACTTCCTTTTCCACATTCACTCGTGTATTTGTCGTAGCCCGATTCACACATAATTTCTAGGTATACATCACTTTGTATGATGTGGTAAAAGATCTCAGATTGTTGTATATGTTCGCATCCATCTTTGCTTCTAAATACTGGTACGATAATAGGAGGGTCTTGTAGCGATATTTCAGTAAATTTTCCAGTGATATTCTTGCACCATCTAATGTTCTTTTAAAAAAGTTAAAAATCACTTTTAAGTTTAAAAACATGTTATTTGAATCATTTTAGCATCACCAGATATTATTGATTTCATTTATTCCTTAGATATGGTTTACTTTGATATACTTTTATAGGTATTTTGCTTGCAAAAGATGTCAGGTGCTTTTTGTAGATCAGTTACAGAAATGATATCCGTACATCAGACTTTAAAGTTTTTAAAAAAGTACGATCAATCTGTTGAAATTAAATAAAATCCATATAATAAATAAAAAAAATATATTATCGTTAAGAACAAACAGACAGAAGTTTAGTTCTAAGTTTTGATTTAGTTCATGAAATACCAAAATGAAATAAAGAGTTCATAGTCATTGAAACTCATTCTGTACTTTAGCGTTGAATTTCTATAATATGACCTTCAAAAAATATGGTTGTGTTCTAATGCTTCAATCCATTTATGGAACTTTGGAAAGGGAAGTCACAAAAAGTAATGAAAAGATGAAGACTGCACACAGTGATAGATCTTTTTAAAATCTAAAAACAATTTTTTAATTCTTTGAATACATAGTATAGGTTATAAAACGGAGATGATTAAAAATTCAACAGGTATAAATGGGATGTCTAAGAGAAATAGCATCTTTTTTAGAAGAAATACCCCGAGAGCACCAAGCATTGAATATATAGATGGAATATTCACTAGTTAAACTTTGTGTTTAAAACAAACTTAATTAGACTTAGGATTTGGTATTTAAAAAATTCAGATTACATCAACAAGAGCACTGTAAGATCTATTAGTTAACGAAATGATGACTTTCAATACAATTTGTTGATCTCCCTATAACACCAACTTATTTGATAAAAGTCTGATTTCTATTATAATTTTGATTACACTCAAACCATACTCCTAAGATTCCAATAATTGTTGGATTCTATAATACCTTGAACAGATGAGAACAAGATGGTAAGAAAACATCACTCAATAACTAATTATAGTTGATAAAGTAAAAAACTGTCGTCATCTCCTTTGTCACACCATGTAGTCATTAGTTGATTGTTATCGATCAGAGTCAGTAAGAGTTCCAAATGTGAAGTGGATGTAACGAGTATACGATAATCAAACAATAAGACAATGGTAATAAATCGATCGTAAACTAAACACAGGAGGATCGATATCAAGTAATGTCTTTAAAATCATTCAAAAATACCCCCCTACTTTATTATTGTCAATAAAATCCATTTTTACTTCGCTTAATTTTTAAGTAAAAACTTTTCATTCTTTTTTTGGAGGTGGGGGGGGGAGGGGGGGGGCGCATGTACACTATCCAAAAAATTTTTCTTGAAAACTTGATACCACCTCAATCATAAAATAAAGCAAAGGTTTAACTTACTTGGATTGGAAGGCCATTTATACTTTTAACTTTTGCGGTGCATTTAAGCTGTATCACGTCTCCTGGTTTTTTCCCGCTGCTTTTAATAATAGTTAAGTATTGAATTTTCTTCGGAGATAGACCTATACAATAAAATAAATTATACAAAAATATATATGTAGCTATTTAAAATTGATTTCTGTATATTCATTTTTCTAAAAAAAAACATAAACCTCTAGGAAAATATATTTTTTAAATTGGCCAGGTTAAATGTAACTGAAAAAGATGTATTATTCTTCAATTTCTATTTGAATGGTTTTACTTAGGTTAAACATTCCTAATTAGACATATTTGGTAAATTTAATATTTTGAAATGGTAGAGCATGCTACAAGCGCCTTCTTTTGTTTAATTGAATACAGTTTGTGCTAGTTATCTTGAATACTAGCCGTTTGTTATCTCCATATTATTCATTATTACATATTATATATGCATTTTTTAAAAAAAAATCTACATAATAAAAATCTTACCTTTAGTCGATATGATACTTTTTTCTTGACTTTTGAAAATCTCAATTCCGTTTGACACTCTACATCGGAAGATGGAGTAGAGGTTTTGGTCAATTGCACATCTGCTCAGAATTAGAGACACAAAAATCTCTATCTTGCATGATAAAAGTACCTCAGATTCAGGATAACATTTATCAGAAGTGATAAAATAAATTTCCAAGTTCTGATATGTTTTCAGGATGTAGGATCCTGTGACGTTAATCATTGCAACTTCTTTCCAGTCTTCTCTGGTGTTGCTTTTCCTTATTTCCATAACCATTTCAGGAATTATGTTATCTTTATTGATATATTCATTGAAGTTGCAGGAGAGAGTTACGTTATTTTCCCCGATTTTAGTTGACGGACTGACAGACAAGTGCCATTTTCCTGTATGATTGATATACATTTCGATAAGATAGACCAGCATTGTTACAAATTCATGCAACTATATATTATCAAAAATGCTAACGTACCTCTACAAAATGGACAGAAAAACAAAAACAAAATCACCACACACATGTACATGGCTAAATGAAGGAAGTAAAATATTCTGCAATGCCCTTGAACTGAACTGTTGATAAAATATCTTATAAAATGTTTTAAATGGTCTACAACCGAGATTAACAGAAGGGCGGTACTGGTAGTTTTAAAAATGGAAGAAATGCCTCTGAAACCCAGCTGTTTGGATATCAGCAGATATAAATGCACTTCAAACCTAACGAAAACTATTGAAGGCTCAGCATTTCAGGCAAGTTTGTTTATTTCATAATTAAACATTTTCTAAGTATATAATTTTTTAAATTGGGAATCATATAAACGTATGGATACATTTACTGTCTTTGACTATCTTTGATAAAAAGTCATAACGATGGATCAATTATACATCTACATTAGAGCTTCAAACATAGAATGCCTTAGAACTATTGGTCTTTTTTTAAAATTATTATAAGATGTTGATAAATAAGCTTTTTAAATAATTATATTTGATGAGTTTGGTGGTTATGAAATGCTTTAAAATTGAAAATGCTGCACAACTGGTCAAGTTGAAAGGGTTTGATTGTCTTTTACCACCAGGTTGTCAGATAGCCTGTTGTTATTTGATTATTTTTAGATATTAATAAGAATAAAATTTCCAGGAAAACCAATCTATATGTGTATGTTATTCCTTGTAATTTTCTTCCAAGATGTTTTGCGAAGTTATGTGCTCTTAATGTTGACCACGTTTTTAATTAAAATTTCGGACGAGAATTGTCCTCACAACACCCTAAAGCAGCCACAGACGCACCCTGTCAGTGAAATGCGTAAAATTATGACCAGCACTTGTGGTGCTGACATCTTACATTTTAATGTATCCTTACCTTATAGTTTGAATAAAATTATACTTCCTTCCATGTCACTTTTAAATAAAATATAAAAACACTGATTACAGATATTATTGTAATAAGCAGTGCAAATTTTGGCGCATACCGGGTATCTAAATAGGCACAAATTTGTCCATCTTTCCAATAAGTACCATTAAAAAATTATACATATATTTCTAAAACCTTGTATATACTTTGCGTAATTTTTTTTACAGATCAACATGTATCAGCTTATGAAAAAAGTCAATAAAATGTAACTAGAAAAAAAAGTAGCACGTGTTTACATTAATTTTAATTGTTATATTCTTACGTCATTAAGGATGTTTTTTTGTTCGATGTATTTATATCTTATGTTCCTTTTTTTAATCTTCACTGGTTGAGTACAGTTAAATGATAGTTGTTATTGTTAAAACTCTATTTCCTTTTGTTTAAATTAAAGCAAATAATATTCGACAATTAACTATGTATACATATATTTCATCTGAGAACCATACACATGCAATCTAAGGTAAAAATGATGCCTATTTCATGATTTCTTTTTCAATGAGCAAATTATTTTAATAAGCGTTATTCATAAAAAACAATACTGTGGGGACACTGAATAATTTGTAACCAGTATGATACTATTACTGAAAATCTTCCTTATTGCAAAACATCCTTATAACTCAATTTACTTATATTTTATAAGAGTGATTCAAGAGTTTGACTCTCTATCTCTATGTCTTTCTGATTCTTTCTCTCTCTTTCTCTAAAATGTAAAAAATAACTTTTCAGTCAGAAAAAATATCCTTGCAACATATATTTAAGTAAGTGAACATATTAACTTAGCTGGTAAAAAATCTTAAACCTCCCATTTCTTGCATTTGTTATCCGTGACCAATTTAGATAGAATAAAAAAATTAAGTACTTGAAATCAAAGATTACGTGCTTCATATGATTTTTTTTAGACATCATATGATGATGTATGTCTGGCAATTGGCATCCAAACATGTTTTTGTGTTGGGGTATAATAATTATTAATTACTTAATCGTCTTTTAAATCCAGGTCATTTCATATAGGGAAGTCATTTACTAGGAGCTTGTCCTATAAATCGCATTTCTTGATGCATCATTCCTACTTAAATCGAATAAATTCATCTTTAACTTTAGAATAAATCTACTCTAAACATATCTCGTAAAATAGGAAGAATGCTTCCTGTTCATTAGCAACCAAGATATGTCATCTGCGTAATTTCAAAAACCACATATTCGTACAAAAAACTGAACCTGCTCCAAAAAAAAATATAGACCTTATTCATTTTCCGATCAAAATTTATAGTTCTTAAATTATCATCAATGTCAAGTACCAAACTTAAATCAAAATCTCGAAAATTTGACCTGATCTACTTTATTGGAAAAAGTAGATAGGAAGCAGGATCTGAAGCAAGAGTAGTAGTATACATCCCAAGAATCATTCAGGTAATCTTGTCAAAAACAGAGATTAGAGAGTAACCTATTAAATGGTCTTGCCAATTAACTTTGAAAACTCATCTTGAAATAATGTTCATATCTACATCTTTAAAATGATATAAATATGTCGGGTCATAAAATCTGGACAGATTAAATTATATGTAGAATGATCATATAAATATGGAACAAAAACCATAAAAAATTTAGGAAATGTTGATAACTTGATTTAAAATGTTGAAAAATTTATCATTAAATACAAATTCCCCTATATCATCGTTCGGCGTCAATGCTGTTGAGTTCGACATAAATAGTGACCATTTTTAAATGATTGTGTCATTACAACGAATGCGTCATTGTTTCTTTATACATCTTTCCCTTCAGGCTTAAGATACATGTGTTTTTTCCTTGATAATATTCCCTTTGGTAAGATCCTCACTTGACTCAGTATTAATCAGACTTATAAAGCTCATGAGCAAATGGAACCTTCGATGTATTTTATTTCTCTATAACCTGTTCAAATATTTAGCATTTCATAGTTTCGTTTGGTGATGCTTTAAATAGAATATGGAAGGAAGACATTTCTATTCATCTGATATATTTATTCTTATTTATTTTAACCATCAAATTGTTTTGATATTCCATAAAAAATATATTTCTTGTAGGTTCAAATTGAAATCAAAAATTGAAAAAAATATTTTTTTAAATGTGCTAACATTATATATTATACTTTCATGTAAATTATCTGATTGGTCGAGAAACATTTGTTAAAAAACACTATTACCCGCTGAATAATGAAGCCACGCCGCCCTCCAGGGTAGCAACAGTCAACATTGCTTGACGACGGGTGATATTCCAAAAAATAACGACTGTGCAGAATTTACGCGCGCACGGTTCACTGTTATATGTATTTGTATAAAACATTCAGTATAATATAATAAATATTGCATGTAGTTGAGTGTAAGATTGAAAATTTTCACCCCTCGAAAACCATTGTCAGCCGAGGCGCAGTCGAGGTTGACAATGGTTTTCAATGTTAAACTTCACTACATGCAATATAATGTATGTCTGGCACATGAGTGTTATAATAAAATGAAAACTGTCTAATCCGATACCTTTGCAACTCGTCACACTGTCAAGTCCGATGTAAATTTTTTCATTCCCATTTTACTATTTTGTACACGGTGCATTCCGACACAAAATTCATCTCTTAGTGTATGTCGAATTAGACAGGTTTCACAGCACGATTCATGCCGGAAGACAAATGTTCATGCCAAATGTTCTCCGTCAGACCTGGTACATGAAGAAGAATTTTTAAATCTAAGATGGCGCTGGTTATCTGATGGAAGAGAATAGACCAATGAAATGAAGACAAATTAAAAAGAACAGAAATTGGACGTCAGAACTCTACGTGAAATGAAATGAGCTCAGTAATTAAGGTTAATGATCGGGATTGACAATTTGTCTATTTAGAACATGAATTCCGCATATTGGTGCAGTACAGGGAACTTAATTTGTTACATTAATCAGCATCAGCATAAGAATAATAATCAGCATTCAGGTAGCGTCAGGATCAGCATTCAAAAAACAGCATAACCAGGATCAGCATCAGCAAACATAAGATATGATTAGAATTGACCTATTCAAAATCAGAATTATCCTGCTAGCATTTAAAAATCAAGTTTTTTCTTCTGCATAGGAAGAAAGACGTAATGGTCAACTAGTTAAATTATTCAAATAATTATTAATAGATAGTTAAATTTTATTATTGAAATAATTATGTTAGACACTTTTATTGCTTTAAGGACAGATGATATACATGCTCAAAAGCAGTACGAATTAGAACAACTGGATCAACTACAGAAAACAGCAGAAATAGATATGGGTCTATTTTATCGCACTGTTAAAAATCGAAATAAGAAACCATGGACACCTCATGAATTGCGGATCAACGGAGTGATCATACGCAATCCAGATATCATTCGAACAGCATGGTACGAACACTACAAAACACTTGCTGCAAAGACAAAAGACCCATTGTTTGATCAAAGGTTCGAAGGACATGTACAACTCTCTGTAATAAACATGAAGGGTTTCCGTCCAGGATGTGGAAGTATACCGGCAGGATTTGTTATAACGGAAACAATTCACCACTATATAGAGAGAGACTCTGATATTTATGTGGCATTTCTAGACAACCAAAAGGCATTTAACAGCGTGTGGCATAATGGTTTACTCTACAAACTGTACAAGTTAGGTATCAATGGTAAAGGGTGGCGTTTGCTTTCCGACTCTTTTTGTTATTCCAGCTCTCGAATCTTATACGAAAAAGAACTGTCGAAGGAATTCACTTTACAGCAAGGTATTGGACAAGGAAGGGTACTATCGTCGTGGTTTTTCCTTCTGATGATTGACGAATTGATAGAAATGCTGGATAAAAGTGCCACTGGAGCATGTGTGTGTGACCTTCACATTCCAAGTGTTATTCTGGCTGATGACACTTCCCTTATATCCAACACTCCCAGTGGTCTCCAGAAGCAACTGGATATTGTCTACAATTACGCTAGACGTTGGCACTTGCGTTATAATCCTAACAAAAGTTGTATTCTCTTCTTTAGCTCTAGTAGAAAGCGACAAAAACAACCTGCGGCTAGACCATTTATTCTTGGCCAGGAAAACATCAACATGCACTCAGAGAATGTTTATGCTGGGGTCGTCCTTACTGATAGGTTGCGAAACACACAAGCATGCAGGAAGGGCAAGCGCATATTAAACTCGCTTATCAACATAGGAGTTCATGATCAGGGTATACATCCCATGACCAGCGTTAAATTATGGAAAACAGTTGTCATGCCATCGATCTTGTATGGATGCGAATTATAGGATGTGATTTCTAAAAAGTCGATCGAAGAGCTGGAAATTGTACAGAGATACACGGCCCGTCGAATGCAAGGATTTGACCAAAGATCACCAACACTGTGTACCATCTTTTCCCTTGGCCTGGTTGAAATTAAAAGGAGTATAGATAAAATCAAGTTGATGTTCTGGAACAGACTCTGTACATCAAGTTATTCTCTATTCTACAAAAAGCTTTTCATTGCAAGGCTGTGCTCTTTTGGTTCGACGACACCAAGACCGAAGCGTGGATTCCTAGCAGATATTCAATCCATAATGAGGGAATACAAAATAGATTTCTTTTTCAGGGAGTACCTTTTGAATCGTGACGTTCCACCAAAATACACCTGGAAGCAATTCGTAGGAACTGTTTTTGACACTGCTAACGTGAGTGGAGGGAGAACTTGAATCAATAAAAGAGCTACGCAGATACACAGAAATACATGAGAACTTATCAACTCATCCCCTTTGGCTACTCGGTTTGAAGCTTCCGAAACACACATGGAAATTAGCCTCAGTAATTAGGCTCTCGGTCGACATCGTTAAAGAGGAGGTGAACTGCAAATTGTGTACGCGTACAACAAGTGATATTGCATTGCATTTTCTCCTTGAATGCCCAATGCTATTTGCTAGCAGAGACAGCTTAATGGACGAAATAGTAAACGCGATAAATGTCCAATCTTACGTTAATCTCACAAACAATAGTGACGACGTAATCGCTGATACCATTCTTGGATCAAGACGTGGTTCTATCGTGTCTGAGGAGGAGTGGGAAATGTTTATGCTTGCTATTGCAACTGGCGTTGCGCGTATGATGACAGAAATGAACACTCACTTACATGAAGTATAAAACTTCAAAAATGGATAAATGATGTACACAGTGTTTAAATTATGGACAGTAATTGTGTACATACTGCCACATTTTTCGTTCAAAGTTCAAATATTGTTACATACTTAATAGTTTGATGAATTGATCTCTGTTGCAGAGGAAATAAAAAGAATGTCTGTCTGTCTCAAACAAAATTTTATCAAAAAAAATGAAAAGAACACCTTGGTTCATGTTAAAATAAGTAAAATGAATTACTTTCACCGCGTAGTTTTTAATTTTTAACACAATTTTTTTTAAAAATGGAATTTCAAGTGAAAAATATTTGCACATGTATAGATTAATAAGTATAATGTCAGAAGGGCAGACTTTTGAACATCACAGGAGGTTTAGAATTTCTTTATATTCTAGGAATTTATTATTTGCTGCATTTGCAGTGAAATTGAGGCAAAAAATATATACCCATCCAGGCATCCATTTTTTGTTTGTATCATCTGTCCTTAAACAGCAATGCTTAAATTCAATTCTCTACGTCGAAAGCATTGGCCTAAGTATAAAACGACATCAGGATAATTTTAAGGATAGCAAGCATTAAATCAGCTAGCAAAGGAAGCATTCAAATCAACATCGGTACTGTAAAAAAAAAAATTGGTCCCCTGCACTGTTATTAAATTGTACATTAAAAATAGTTGATGAGTAAAGAGAGCCCAAACTTCATTTAACTATGAAAAAATGTACAAAATAAGAAACACAAATAAGATAAAAAAGAAGGTATGGTTTTAGCTTTATTGCACCCTAAAAATGTAATGGCATCAAAAGTTTTGAAACTGGCTTAAATATTAGTTAAATTACTCTGATAAATCAGGAAAGAATATGGCATGAAGGTTTACCATTCTGCAAATATGATGTCATTAATTTGAAGCATTTCTCTATTTTCAACAGAAAAAGCCTCAAAATGGCACATTTCAAGGGTGATTTTCCTTTAGAAAACAGTGTCCACAGCCATCGCCCACGTCAATGTTTGATATATTTGTGCAAAATTTTAAAAATATCACATATCTCAAGATCTTTGTGGGCGATGCCTGTGGACAATGTTATCTGAAAGAAAATTCCATTTAAAATTGGTGTCTTCTGCAAATTTTTAAGAAAATACAGGAAAATGCACATGCTTATGACGTCATAATTAGCATTTTAAAACACATGTGAGAAAAAAGACTTGTATGATTTTTCTGCATTGAATTTCAATTATTTAAAAAGCATGAATTTTCAACCTTCACACCAGTTTTATTTTTTAGAAAATCACAGGGCAAAATTTGTTTGGAAACCGTACCTTCTTCTTTGTTTCAATTAAAATTCTTTAAAAACGCAAAAGAACTTTATTCGGTAAAAACCAATACTTGCCCCCCAAATCAAACTTTGACGGAGAAATATCTAATTATGTTCTTAAACAGGGGGATATATGCTGACTTCGAAGCACTGAATATTTTCATAATTAATGACGCCATACGTTTGAAATGACTCCACAAAAATGACGTAAATTCAGAATTTCCATGATTTCTACAGAGAAACGTATTATTACGTCGATATTTTGAGTAAAAGTCACCGAGCGCATATCTGATCAGGCTCAATATTTTGATGTAATGTGTAGATTGATAATATCAATAAAATATGTAAACATTGTTCCTGAGCAAACTTGCGCTCTATAAATTTTAAAGCTAAAACTGTTGAAATTTTGTCCATTTTGTCCTCTTTCTAAAAAATGATATAAAATCGGACTAGTTTGTAACGTCATAAAAACAAAAATTGTGAATAAACTACTTTGAAACTATAATATGTTCTGTTAATTTATATTTCTCATATAAATTAAAGAAAATCAGCACATGTCAAGAAGCTTTCAAAATTTGCCTTTTGTGGGGGGCAAAGATATGCAATATACCGCAGATAGATCTTTGCTCGCTTATCGAGAAACTCTAAAAAGTATATAGCAGAAATAGGACTATTCGCATTTCACATGTTTCATTTATCAGTATTATAGTAAGAAATGACCTGATTGTATAAGGCTATTCTTGTAATCCATGCTCTCTATCTGCAGGAACTGTTCATTTGTTACATCTTCTGGCTGAGAGATAGGAAAATTTGTACTTGTGCCTAGATTGGAAAGTGGAATGTTTGTGTACATATAATTTTATCATAATTAATATCGTTGACCCGCGTTGCATAAATTGGCATTGCATGATTCTAAGTCATCCTTTCCAACAAATAAAAATTTTACGCTGGGGTAGCCACAGCATACATTTTAGAGAATGTTTGATTTGAGCTCTCGTAAAGCAAGGAAATTATATCGTTAAAGACGATGAACACTCAGTCTCAAATCAACATTGTCTGTAATTGCCATGCCATCAGAGAGAATAAAAATAATGTAGACGCCGTAAGCACGATATCGAGTCAACATTGTCGATACTGCGATGTTGACAATGGCAATATAGAAATACTAACCATTTAGACGGTATCAACACATATTATGTTAACACTGTTGGCAATGTCGAATTGACAAAGTAAACTGGACATTCATTACTTTAAGATGATATTGGTGTTTCGATCTGATGCAGGAACTGATATATGTTTAATACGAGAAAGTGCTATTATTATGTACGTACAAGAAGTATATTTAAAGCTTTAAAGAGCAGACAAATGTATTAATATATTAGAATAAAAGTGTGAAAACCTCAGAAAAAATGATTTTCTCTCATATATGAGACTTCAACATAAACTCTTATAAACGTTAAGGAGCTGAATTTATATTTGCTATGCAGAGTATTGTAAATGTGATTGTGACGTCATTAAATTATTTACAGGTGGCAACTGCAATTTTTCACCCCAGGTTTTACATAAACGATAAATTGCACTTTTTAAAAATTTCATCAATTGCCTATCATGAATTTCAACTCGTGCCATTAGAAAGCAATGTTTTCAAGTATAAAAAGCAAATCTTTATCATAAGTGACGCCAATAACCCTGTCTTGGCACAGTTTGTGATCCCGAGTTGCTTTAAATCAATAACTCCAAAAAACGCTTAATAAATATCAAAACAGTTTTCAATTTGATCAATAGCACTATAAGCAATTTGATCATTAGCAGTATAAGCAATTTATTTACTTGCAACAAAAGTAATAAAATGATTCTTTCTAGATGGATGTAAATGTCTGTTAAAAATGCGAACCTATCCTTCAATATCGTCAATCCCTACATTCAGGTTTTCTTTTCTATAAGTCACGTGATGCATAACTGATGCATCTAAATCTGGAAACTTTTGCTGTAAATAAATGTTTAGAAAATGTGAGAGTTTATTGCATTAGCAAAAATATTATTCTTAAAAATAAATCAGCAAAAACAGAATGTAAACAAAGCAGTCATTCGCAAAATTTTTAAACGTAAAAATTTATCAATGGCTTTCTGACTCAGATTCGCAAAATAAAATCGAAGTAAAATTCCCAGATTTACGGTACCTATATACAAATCAAAACGTGAGAATCTAAAATAGTACATACATGTAACAGGAAATTTCATTGAGAAATACAAGATAAGGGATGTTCTTTTCACAAGGAAACAATATTTTTATAACTATTCCTAGTAAGTGATCAAATGTTTCACATTCAGATAAGTTGATGCTTAATATTATACGTATTTTGCTTTTAGGAAAAAAAGGAAAGCTTTGTTTTTTTGTTTTGAAAGTACATGCACTTGTTATAAGTCTAGATCTTCGTAGTTTTGTTGTTCTTCGTCAATGTGTAGCTCATCGTAGTCACATCTGTTGTAAATAAATAGACAGTAATTTTTTTTCAATAGTCCTACTGAATGTGATAATTTAAAAAAAATCCCAATTTCATGCATTGAAAAATAGAATGATTTAAACATTAAAAGTTTTTGCATGTTAACAATTACTTTTGACACAACTAGATGATTTTTTAATAATGAGTCATTAGGTTTTTTTGTCACTTACATTTCTGAATCAGTTTTTTGTTTAAATTTTTCTCCTTCATTCAAAATCTCATCTTTCAACAATTCATTTTCATATACACTTTGTCTTCGAACCACCAAAGTGCAATCCGGTTCTTCATAAAACCCTCTGAAAGAACCAAATCGAAAAACAAAAATAAATTTTTAATATTGATTGATTGTATATTGTTTAACGTCCCTCATGAGAATTTTTCACCAACATGGAGACGCCACCACTTGCTGGTGGAGAGCTGCAAGTGTGAACTACATGTATACTTGGCACTTAGGGCCACTGAGCAGGGTGGGATCTTTTTCGTGCCACCACCAACTGCGACACGGGACCTCTGTTTATACGGTCTCATCTGAAGGACCGGTCTCCACGTCCCACAGTGGGATTCGATCCCGCGACGTGAGGATCAACTCCTTTTTTCGCGACTCTAGAGCAGTTGCTCTAAACACTGTGCCAGCGGGTGACTTAATATTGATTGAAATGTACTATTGTTGATTTCATGACTATTGATGACGCAAAAATACCTTATAATATCACTGATACTTACTGTGAATTATCTTCAGAATCTCTTTGACCTTTACACTCTGCACAAAGTTAAGAAATAGATTTGAAATTGAAATTGAACATTTCAATTTGTCACTTTTTTTTCTTTTTTTTTTCACTTTGTTTTGTCGTTATCTCTCTCTTTTTTGAAATCATATACCATTTAGAAAAATAACAACAAGCAAAAAAAAAAAAAAAAAATTCCGGGTTAAAAAAAACAAACACTTAGAAAAAAATAATAAAACATAGAATTATGACAAATTTCTCAAAAAGCACAGGAAGAGATATAGAATACATTGTATTTAGTTTTTTCGAAGTGATTTTTTTTATTGAAATAATGAAACATGAACATGAAAATAACGTACTTGATAAGTGGTAGTTAAAATAAGAAATATATATATCAAATAATTGGATTAATTGTTAAATTAAAAAAAAAACGAACACATAGATACCTGTCTTGTTTTCATCAATCTTAGAATTGTTTTTGATTGGCTCTTCAATATATCGTATGCTTGATTGAGATATTCTGTGAAAAAGTTATTTAAATAGCTCTATTAAACAATTACTATGACTACAATTGTACGTATAATTATATTATATTTTTAAATGTAAATTTAAATGATATAATTGTTGAAGCTGTTTTGCAAACGTACACTTTAGTAACTTTTTAAAATAATACAGTGACATTACGAAAACTTTGACATTTTAATCTCTCCCTTTCTTTCTTTCTCTCTCTGTCTCTCTCCTTTTTTTTTCCTTTTTTATTTTAATAAATTTATTTTCCATGAAAACATTTGTGTATATTACCAATATTTATAACTCTGACATACGAGGCGTGATCAAAAAGTTCGCGAACTACCGGTATCTCTATACTGTAAAACGAGAATATTTGGCGCACTACTAATTTTAGCGCCTTTGGCGCAAGAGCCCCTGAGCGCTAAAATTTATTGTGCAATAAAGGATTTCTAAATATCATTTTTTGTGTGTTCAACATTTTTTTTATAAGTACATGTAAACCGGAACGCGCGATTACGTAATGTCGAAGGGTCAGTGGATTTTATATACACACTAGCACTGCACATGTTCGGAAGACAGAAAGTTCTGCCAAATTATAATTTAATTAAAATATTGTTACCCCGGTAGTTGTTACCCGATTATTATCATTAACACCTTCAAAGTTTGGCTTTTCGACGTGTCAATCATCTATCGCCTCGAGGAAAACAATGCAATCAAGCATGCCGAGTGAGCTTACAGACAATACCTAATTAGGATTACCGTTTTATCTAAGTAATTTTCTGTCGATGCATGCATTGTTCTAATATGATTTAAATGAGTAAATACTCCATTTCTTTTAATTGAAAATAGAAATAAAATAAATTTTAACATTGTACCACGTCCATGTGATAGCAACACGTACCGCAGTAAAGTTAACGAATGTTTACTGATATACGGGAGTACTAATGTGTTTCCGTGCTTGACTTACCAAAAAGTCAAATACGGGTGTGGATTAAAAAAAAAATATCACAGCTGTGTTTTTTATTGACAAGTGTAAGCGCTAAAATTTATTTGCGCCAATGCATTTCCACTTGCGTTTGCGCTAAAATACGTATGTGCCAAATTTTCTTGTTTTACAGTATTTACAAAACCACGATTCAGATCAGAATGAAATTTTGCACTTATAGTCATGTACATGTTCTATAAATAGCATATGCAACGTAATGATTTTCTCCATAATTGTAACGTCATAATATGAAAATGACGTTGGCGAAGTTTTTTTATCACTCCTTGCATTTATTCTGTTTCCAATAATTTTATTTCATAAAGTCATATTAGAAAAAATACCTTTTCGAGGATATTGCTTGTGTAGGCACTGAAAGAAAACAGATATATCATACAATTATAGGTCAATACCTGAGGAGAACAATATACAACGAGCCCGAAGGGCGAGGTGAATATTGTACTTCGAAGATAGCTTAATCATCGTATTGACTGAAAAATATATTAATTATACAAGAACTAAAAATGATTCATTATCTCTATCTTTCAGTAGAATTTTACGCTGATATAACCTGCAATAACTTTGTTCCCGTTCTCCTCCGGCAGTTGAAATCGGTTGCTGCTTCTGAAGTGTATGCAAAAAGCACATTTTCAACATTTTAATTATAAATAACAGCTTCAGAAAAAAATAATAATATTCAGTCAAAAGGACATGTATATGATAAATAAATCTCTTAACTTATCAACAAATGACTTTAATTATATATTCTGCATTATATTGATTTTATTATTTAACACAAACGGTTGAATCGCCAAAGATCTGTCATCAACCTATCAATGATTAAACAATGATTGTACGTACCTTTCAATCTTGATCACAACTCCTAAAACATGATATTTAAAATTATGATAAAATGCAGCTTTACATTTAGCTAACCAGTATTTTCTTATGTTTTGATTTCAAAAAAGACAAAGGAATGACCGTTGCATCAATTAATCCCATAAATTATCACAAGGCTATTCTAATTTATTATGTCAAACATCGCTTCATTTTAAAGTAAATATAAAAAAACTTACCAAATATTGTCAATTCTTCTCTTCTGTATAAGATTATTACAAGAGCCATTACTGTGATTAAAATCAAACACAAAAAGACAGCTAAAACAGTCACAGTGGCAGAACGTTCCTTTTCAGATAGCACTGTTTGATGGGCTGAAGTTAAAGAGAAATAATCTTTATGTTCATAAAGAGATGAAATATTCAAAAAAAATAATAGTAAATCTATAAGAAAAATAATAACATGTACTTTTTACGACACATAAATCAAGAAAATGCGTCATCATATGTTTCATTATGCATATGCATTCTTTTTTAGATTGGCCAAACAGTTTCTAGATTAAATTGAAGGGGACACATTTTTGTATCAAATGTATATCACAGAAATGAACATCGCCCTCTTCGGACAAACTCCATAAAAAATGGTTAAAATCCATTGTTATTGAATTATTTTACACAGGTGAAATGTTAGATGCAGACTGTATTTACCGTTTATCCGAATTGTTAGACTTGAAGAAGTTAATCCAGATCCACAGGGAGTGGTAGAGAAATTAGAAACTTCACAGATAAAATGGACAACCTTGTCGTACTCCGTTACATGATAGGTAATACGACTGAACATTATTATTTCTCCGCCACTTTTATTTGCTGAAGACTTTATTTCATCTTCTTGCGTGACAACTCTTGTCCAGTTAGCATTGTCTGTCTTTTTTACGCACCAGTTCATCGGCTAAGAAAAAAAAATAAGGAAAGTAATTTATCATGGGAGAAGCTTTAATAATGAGATTAACCTTAATTCAGCTAGTATAACCAATTCTCATTTCGTATACATTTATTTTTCATGAGATATTGAATTTTATAAGGGGATACAACCGATATAGAAAATTGTAAAAAAGATGTGTTTGTGAAACACTTATGCCCCTGTATGGCAGCTAGGGTCGAATTCTCTCAAATACAAGTCAAGTTAAAAGTGTTGGTACGCAAAGGAAGATCTTCTTACAAAGAATGCAGCTGTGAAATACCCAAAGTCTAGTTCTAGCTGTTAAAAAGTAATGACCAAAGTTAAAGTTTTTTAAGAAGTGGGTTAAACTGTTAGGCCAAGGTCAAATTTAAAATATATTTACAGTAAAACACGGTTATAGCGAAGTCCTGGGGACCTGTGAATTTAATTCGCTATATTCGTAATTCGTTATATCCGTATAACGAATTCGTATAACCATATATAGCGAATTCGGAATATGCATGTTTTCCTTCAAGTGTTACTATCAGATATGTTAGGGAAGCAAATATTACAAAACATACCTTCGATAACTAAGGTTTTACTATGAATTGAATTTTATATACAAATGCTGAGAGAAAATATAGTCAGTTCAATAATTCAAATTTTGAAATCTTTGAAAGTACGTTATAAAAGATGTAAAATTCATTATATTTAACCTCAACGGGACTCAAAATCAGTTCGCTATATCCGTAAATTCGTTATATCAGAGTTCGTTATAACCGTAAAATTTTACAAAGATTTGTTAAGAATTTTGCCGGGGACCCAGAAACACTTCGTTATATCCGTGAATTCGCTATATCCGTGTTTGTACTGTATATCAGTTGAAAGGTCTTGTCACAATGAATAAACCTGTGAAGTGTGAAAGCCCTAGCTTTACCCATTCAATAGTTACATGTATGCGCTAGGTTAAAGTTGAAACAGGCAGAGAGACAAACAGACAGACAGGACATAAACAACATACCCCCGGGATCTTTCGATCCACAGACATAAACATATCATAATCTCCATATGTGTCTGTCACAATCATATTCTCCTTTCTATGGAGTTCTTTGATGCACTCATCTTTGTGATAGGGAAATCGTTCAACCAATCCGACGTGATTAGCCTTAATCGAGAGAATCTAGAACATTCTAACGTCTTCAAACCCTACCGCATTTTTAGTCTCCAAGATGCTCCATCGGTGAAAAAGATAGACAAAAGTAAAAAAAAATCGGTTAATGGGGATTTTTGCCAGAAACTTTTGACACACCCCGGCTAATTAGTACCAGAGTGAACGTGAACATGCTTGAAAATTAGGACTAGTCACTCATTTCTCGAGTTAAAATAAGACCAATAACGTTGACGAGACTACCAACCAGAATACTGAAAAAAATACAGAAATCGGTTTTTGTAATTGGGGCAAAAATTATGTAATAGATTGTCTACTGTATACTATATATCTGTTTCTATGGTAATATCTAAGCAATTATAAGTTTGCAGAATAAAAAGTCCGATCTCAATTTAGCATTGTAACGCGCTTATGTCATCAACCTCATTCAAATTCCTCTCTGGCGATAAATCAAATATTCTTTAGTGGAAAAATTATAATATACTGTTTAGAAACTCAGTAAATGTTGAAAATGTCGTGTTAAAGAGATACTTAAAATGTCACTCCATAACTCGGCATTATAAATGTCCACGTGTGTTTCTTCTACCGCATTACCTCCGAGACAACATACATTTCAATGTCGATGATTGTGTTTATTACATGTAGGCTTGGTGCACAGTAACCAGGAAGAACCTCTGATCATTTGATATGATTTGATATAATTTTATAATATTCAGCCAAGCAAAAAATAATATGGATTGTATGTTATCTTTCAGTATATTTATAGCACGTATTTACCTGTTCATTCGATGTGAAAGAGGAAGCAGTACAAAACAGATGAATGGTTCTTCCAATTCCTTGAGTGTTGAAATACTGTCCATTTATAACTTCCGTCTCGTCGTATATCAAGATAGGATATACTTTCCACTGTCCCTCTACTTTTCAAAATGAGATAATATGATCTCAAAACAGAGAAGAAAAATAATGAAATAATGTAACATTATGTAAGACCTTTCCAGTACAATTCAATATGAAAGAAGCACCTTCAGTCGAAGTTTTTGTCTTTATGAATATTGTCGAATTTGCTTTTCCTCTTCCACATTCACTTGTGTATCTATTGTAGCCCGATTCACACATTATTTCTAGGTATTCATCACTTTGCAAGATGTGGTAAAAGATCTCAGATTGCTGTACATTTATGCATCCATCTTTGCTGCTAGATACTACTACAGTGTTTGCATTGTCTTGTAGAGATATTTCAGTAAATTTTCCAGAAATATTCTTGCACCATCTGATGCTCTTTTAAGAAAGCTAATATTTACTTTCAAGTTTAAACGATGTAATTTGAATAATAATAACATGACATTACTTTAAATTTAATAATTACACATTTTTCATTTAATATACACTTGTAAACATTTTATTTCATTAGAGAGATAAAATGTAAAGTTACCTTAGGGTGTTGAAAATTATAAAAAAGAAATACAATAATAACGTATTGAAATCCGAAATAATTATAATGGACGTCTAAAAGAAGTAACGGAAATGTTCCAGATTTTGTCTCTCTTGAAATTAAAACGACTATACAGAGTTCATTGGCATATACTCTTAATATGTACTTTTACTAACGGTTTATTTTAATTACTTTGTCGTAGAAAAAATGTTCTAGTTTCTAATGCCTTGTTCTAATCATTGAATAAAGGTCAAGAAGTCAACAAAAGAAAAAAAGAAATCAAAGGCAATGGAAAGGTGAATGCAAAACACGATTTATAAACAAAATTAATCTCTAAACGGAATATACAACAATGGAAATCCAAGAGCTGAAATGAAATTCCCAAGATAAATAAACATTCTTATCTAAGAGAAAACACCCATTACATGTAAGAGCCCCGAATATTGATCATATAGACTTAACAATCCCCATTTTAGATTAATACAATTATATATTATACATGTACATATTAACACATAGGAATTAGTCTTAGAGCATCAACCAAACTACGACTCAATGAATTAATCATATAAATTGATATTAAACAAAGGTTGTTTATAAAATATTTTTCGCTGTTTATTATATCCTCCAATTTCAGTATGGATTACATGTTCACCTAGGGATATTGAGCCCGTCTATCTTTTTTTATCCAATATTTAAATTTTGTTGTAAAAAACTATGTACTTTATCTCATTGATTATTTGTAAATAAAAACAAGAAAAAAACTTTATTTAAAAAATAAAACGAACATACCTGGCTTGGTAGACCATTTATGCTTTCAACTTCTCCTATGCATTTAAATTGCACAACATCTCCTGGTCTTTCCCCGCGGCTTTTAACAATGGTGAGGCTCTCAATTCCGTTTGGAGATTTCCCTACGTAATGACATTTATGAAAGTTAAAAGTTGCTTCTTCAATAGATTTGTGTGCATTGCTGGTAAAAGCTCTGATTTCTGCAAAAGATGAATCTAACATTTTACACGATAGTTTAAATATACGTTTTATTATTGCTATTTTTGACTTTTATTACGAATAATCGCACAATGCGAGATCGAAATGAAATTATATCTGAATTTGTTTTTAAAAAAGGAACCCCATTATACATGTTTTCTAACAAATTATGAACCTTTCCCCATTGCCCTAACATACTTAGTATATATTATAAGCGACTGAGTCGTGCATAGTTCGTGACTTTGACAATTTGCGTACTTCACGTCTAATCGTCGTGTTTTTGACCTAGAATAACAAAAATACAAAGTAAAAGCCGACGGATCTGCGTCTTACCGTCTTTTAATATTTTTTCGAATGACAATAATTTTAATTTTCCAACAGTTGATATTGTTTCTATGGTGGTCTGGTAATGTTATTTTTTTATTTTCTAAGAAATATCGGGTGATTTAAAAAGTAATACGATTAAAAAAAACCGTACTATTGATAATTAAGTATATTTAACATTTAAACACAGTATATAGAATTTATGAAATAAAATTCTGGAAAATCATTTCTTGACCACTTTAAAGACTACATTAGCTCTCAGTGACGATTCGAGGGTACTTTTTATTTATAATATATAAATATAACCATTATTATGCAATAATTGTAGAATGTGTTTTTGTTATCGAGGCAGTACATGATTTTTACTGCAAGCTTAAGTTATAATAACATTTTGAATTGACAGATGATACTTTTATTTTACCATTCTACACAAATTCAGACAATTGTTGCATATTCCCAGTCTCACCTTTCGTCCATACAAAACTTTTTTCTTGACTTTCAAAATTGTTACTTCTGTTGGACACTCTACATCGAAAGATTGTGTAGAGGTTTGGGTCAATTGTACACCTGTTTAGTGTTAAAGAGACAACAACCCTTGTCCTGCAAAATATGTCATAATAGTACCAATAACGATGATCGTTACAACCAGAAGAAGACATTATATAGATTTCCATGTCCTGGTCCGTTCTGACGATGTAAGATCCTGTGATATTAGTCATTGCAACTTCTTTCCAGTCTTCTCTGGTGTTGTTTTGTCGGATTTCCATAATCATTTCAGGTATAATGTTATATTTATTGGTATTTTCATAAAAGTAGCAATCGAGGGTAACGTTATTTTTCCCGATTGTAGTTGATGGGCTGGCAGACAAGCTCCATATCCCTGTAGACATAATAAAGATAGAGAAAAAGTTTCAAAGGAAACACTGTTACTAAAAATGCATGCAATCTTAGAAGAAAAAAATTGACATACCTTGACAAGATGGACAGAACACGATAAACAAAATCACCAAATACATAGCTAAATCAGGGAAGTAAAATATTTTCCAATGTCCTTGAACTACACTGTTGATAAAAATACATTTGGTAAATGACTAAACAGGTTAATAAAGTTTTCAACAGACCTTTAAAGACGAGCGGTACTGAAAGCACTAAATATGGAAGATATGATTCGCTAGTCTTGCTCTTTGATAATCTGGCAAAAATATTAACTGCAGAATAAACAAGCGTACAATGGTTTTTTAAGACATCAGCTTTTTTCCAAAGTATATATTTTAATAAATTCAGCGGGTTAAAGGAAAATAAAATATTCTTTTTTTTCATATATTTACCGTTCCTCCCTTATGATGGTGGATATATTTGATATTTAATTTCCATAGCGCATCATAGGTGTCCCTTGAGTTTTCTCAAGCCTTAGGGACATTGTCCAGATCGCTTCCCTGTACTATTCTCACTCGTATAAATATACACAATGTGTATATATAACAACATTACTCTCTCTCTCTCTCTTTCTCTCTCTCTTTTTAATACCTTTTTTTGTGTAAAAATTATGATCGTAAGTAGAGCATGATTTTGTCCATAACATCAACCGAGAGACACAAACCCCATATGCATGCAAAATTTACATAGAATTCGGATAAAGGAGACATTTATGAAGACATGTAAGGCCCAGGACATATCCTGTTTTCAAAAGATTGCTCTCTTACTGATAGATGTTATTATCACGTGACACCAGGCCGGGATCTTCCTCTCCTTCAAAAGAGGTCGAGGGAGCACGATTTGGTCTTATAGTACTCGAAAGACACACAATTAAACAATATTGAAAACTGGTTTGATTTTTTTCTCAAGACATTCCGTTTATCTGTTGCGGAGTAGAAACTCAGATGAGAAATGTCCTAAAATATTCCCTAACATCAGTCACAGAGGTACCTTAACATCACAACCAATGTGAGCAATACGATTTAAACGACTCTTTAATTAGCTTGTGGCTTAAACCATAATCATCGGTCGTCAATAAAAAAAATGATTATCCACTTTAAGATTTTTTTTTTGGTTAAAGATTGCGTGAAATGTAAATGTGATCAACGATATTTTTAACCTTTTTCCCATTATTTTTTTTTCCAATTATGAATCATCTACATATTCATTGTATAAAACATTCCGATAAATCTGAGAAGAAATAAATGGTGATTTAAATTCACGCACCACATAACAACCTAGCTACTTTTAGACCGATGAACATAAATGGCATCAGGAAAACGGGTTAGGCTGTTTTGGTTACAAAGAAATTTTGACATGGACGGCAATGTCAAACTAATGGAAAATGAAGAAAACTAGGGAATGCCATCACTGCCTTATAGCATACAACTATTCATCTATTACGTCAATTTATCATTATGTGATGCGAACATATCTTTACGTTATGTCCATTTTTTATGAGGTGATGTAAATATATCTTAGCATCATGTCAATGCTGCATTACATGAAGTAAATACATTCTTTCATTATGTCAGCACTTCATAACTTGAAGTAAAAAATTCATTATGTGAAGTGATAATGCGTTTACATTGTATTAAAACTTTATTGCATGAAATGAATTTTTCTTTACATCATTTCATTTCTTTAATATGTGAGGTCAAAATTGCATTACGTCAAGTAAATTGTGTCATATAATTAAACTTATCATTGCACGAAATCAAAAGCCCATTCCTTTTTGAGAGTGTATATTTCTATTATATCAAAGCATTATTACGTGTTATGGATTCATCTTTATTTTACGGCGAGAGCATCATGATATAAGGTGAACACATCTTACCTTTATGTCAGTGCTTTATTACGTGGTGTAAAAAGTGTATAACATAATGTGAACATATCTTTATATTATATCAATACTTTATTACATTATGTCAAAACTCCATTCCGTGATGTGGTTATATAATTACGTTATGTCAACTCTTTCTTATGTGATTTAAAAATATCTTTATATTGTGTTAACTCTTTATAATGTTGATTCCAAAAGTTCATTACCTGATGTTAAAAAAATTTACATTATCTCAAAGCTGTATATCTAGTATATAATGAATGTTGACGACCGTGATTTAATGACTGGTAAGAGGGGGGGGGTTCCTGATTGATTAGGACGAATTACAGGCATATAATATCAACCCCCTCTTTTCCCAGACATAATTTGACTATAGAAAATGTAATGTTCATTGAAACTGTACAGCCCCCACCCCTACTTTTTGTTAAAGTATAATCCACTAAGGGTAATGTAATATATCTGGAAAAAAATAGGACTGATCGAAGTTGGACCCCTCTCCCCGAAATAGGATTTTCGGGCTTGGACTTTTTTTTTTGGTTTGTCAAGTTTTTTCGGTGAAATGTTTTTTTTTTCTGGCTGACCTCCTCTTCCAAAAAAAGATGTTACGTCACTGGAGTTAGTAATTTTTTTTAATAATTCCAGGGCCAGAATTCTATTATAAAAATCTACCAATCGCTCATCTAAATCAGTTGAATATGCCTTAGTAAGCATGCATGGGCACATATCAGTGGCAGATATGGGAATCTTGAACAAGGAAGGGGGACGGTATATGGTTGAAGACCAAGGGCGGAAAGCAGAGAAGCTTTCAGGCTTTATAGTTTTATAGGAAAAAGTTTTCAACTTAATTCAGCTAAGCTTATTGTGAAACTAATGCAATGTCCTTCAAAGTTTAAGACTTTTATTAAAAAAAAAAACAGAATCAAAATAAAAAGAGAAAAAAATGATTGCTGCACGACTCATAATATTTGATTTATTTAATTATGAGATTAAAGTAAACACAATTGAATTTCGATGTGACTTTAATTCACAGTCGCAGTGTTAAGGCTTTGCACGTTTCAAGATTGTCAATCATTTGTCGCTTAAAGTTTTCATTTAAAGATGCCATTCCCAAATCGCCAAGAATCTCTTCTACGACAGTTTTCTCTCCCGCCATTTTTAGTGCTTGCGGAACGCGGAAAGTACGTTATGCTCATATAAAGGCCGAGGATACCCGTGTTCGTATAACGTAATAGTGAATCGACATAATGTAGAAGAGTGCGCACAGTATGGCGTAAGCTTTTCACATCAGTTAATAAAAACTAAGATCTCATGAAAAGTAAACATAACGAAATGCAAGTTGACGAAATATAATTGTAGTATGTGTAAATGTCATAAAGAGTTGACATTATGTAAAGGAAAGTTAACACGATGCAATAGTAGTGTGGGTTAATGTCATAAAGAGTTGACATAATGTAATGGAAGGTTGACACAATGCAATAGTAGTGTGGGTCAATGTCATAAAGAGTTGATATAATGTAATGGAAGGTTGACACAATGCAATAGTAGTGTTCTGCTATAAGGCAGTGACGGCGTTTCATAGAAAACTAAGAGGTCATTGCTTTTAAGTGTCAATTGTGCTCCTGTATCCAAAGTTATACATATACATTTATTTCTAAAACTATGCATACAACCTACATCACAAATCAACATGTTTCAATAGATGGAGCAAGTCAGTACAAATTGTACAAATTTGGAAATAAGACTGTCGTTATACGTTTATAAAAAATTATATATTTTGACGTTAATATAACATTTATCCTGCTCTCAGTGAAAACAAATATTCGTTTTTTTTCATCTTGTTAATTCATGTATTTGTTAAACATGTAAGTCTAGATCTTCGTAGTTTTGTTGTTCTTCTTCAATGTTCAGCTCATCGTAGTCACATCTGTAGTAAATACATGATTTTTTTAAAATAAAACTGTTGAAAATAAAGTAACTTTTATAATCAAGCATGAAACTGCAATGTGGCAACGCACTTTGAAAAAATTACGCACTTTGAAAAAAAAAATCAAAGTGCGTTGAATTTGGAGAAAATCAACGCACTTTGAAAATTTTTTTCAAAGTGCGTTAAGAGTGTTCATCAACATTTTATTACATAGGGGCATTTAACGCACTTTGAAAATTGATGTTATAAAACAAAAATTTTAGCCCTAGATCTTAGTAATTGAGAGAATCAATTTGTAATAATGATATCTTTTGAAAACTTTTTTAATTTTCATGCATTGATTAACCCTCATTGAGAACAAGGAGAAGACAGGTAGAAGGTCTCTACTCTCAGCCCAACTCTTTTTATCTTATACATTGTACATAGCTGTCGGTAGCAAATTGAAAGTGGATCCCCCTAAAGGTAAGACCCGATTTTCAATGCCTATATTATGTATATCTTTGCAAAACATGCATTTGTGTGCGTACCCCCCTCCCGTACCGATTCTTATGCTACACCCAAATATATGTATTTACATAACTGCTATGACGTTGTAAACTTAAGTTGACATAAATTACATGCAAATTGGAAAAATCCAAGTACAGTAAAACATATTGACCAAGCAATAATTTCTTTTTTCAAAGTGCGTTAATATGGTCGATATTAACGCACTTTGAAAATTTTTTTTATTTTTTTCAAAGTGCGTTGATTTGGTACCAAATTTAACGCACTTTGAAATTTTTTTTCAAACTGCGTATTTTTTAAAGTGCATTGTAACACTGCAACAACATATAAATGATACAGTCGTCTTTTTCTATTCAAATTATTTAATAGTGTTCATCTATTAAATAAAGATCCACCAAAATAAGTCGTAAATGATTTTTTTCTCACATTTCTTCCTTTATTCTGCGGATATCACTCACTGGATATTATTATGATATCAATGGATTTTGTGCGAAAGTGAAAGTAAAGTAAATTAAATTCTTGTATAAAACAGCATAAATATTTATAATGATGTATAAAACATGGAATAAAAGGAACCTCTTATAGTATGTTGAGAAATAATTTTTAATCTAACTCCTTGCGTGTCTTATAATCTCGCCAAGACTTGGGGATAATTAAGACAACAATGCGTTTGGATAATATCACATCCGACCACAAATGATATTAGATCCTATAAGTTACTCACATTTGTGATTCACTGTTTTCTTTTAATTTTCCTCCTTCGTTCAAACTGTCATCTTTCAACACTTCATTTTCGTAAGCACTTTGTCTATGAACTGCCAATGTGCATTCTGGTTCTTCATAAAACCCTCTGGAATGAGGAAAATTAATGCTAATATTGAACTGCTGTAGTGTTCAGCAGTTTTAAGATTAAGGATATCGCAGAATAACTTTCGATATCACTTATACTTACTGTGTGTTGTCTTCTGAATCTTTCTCATTTTTACACTCTGTACATAGTAAAGAATAATATTTAAATGACAAAGCTGCGTTTATCTCATTTATAAAAGATTAATAATATATAAAACCAAAGGAAAGAAACAAGAAGAAACGTGGCCAGGAAAAACTGTTAAAGAAAAGTAATATTAACGAACATTGAATTTTCAAATAAAGCACTGAAACATAAACTTTAACTTAATTTGCATTATTTTTTAATAAAAATTAAATTATATTTTATTGAAGACACAAGTACAAAAATTTAGAATGTTTGTTAAAATAATGGTATATATTAAACAAGTAAATGAATCATGAAATTTTAAAACTACCTGTCTTCTTTTTGTCAATTTTAGAATTATGTCTCATTGGCTCTTCGATATATCGTTTGCTTGTTTGTGATATACTGTAAATGTTGAATTGAAAAAAAATAAGATATTGTTAAAACTGTTGGATGTATAAACGAGTACACCAATATTTATAAACTGAAATTATTTCAATTGATAAAATTATTATCAGATTATATAGCAAACATAGTTACCATAAAAAAAATGCAATTACATTAAGAAAACGTTCATTAATATAATTAATATCTCTATATCTCTCTCTCTTCATGGATAATATCTTTGTCGCTGTTTGTAATCTTAATATTTTTATTCAGTAGCCATACGTTTCTTTGGCATGAAAATTTTGACTTATGTTTTTATTATTTATATCACCATGACATATACATATATATATCTATACTTTAATTACTTGTGGGAAAAAATACCTTTCGGAGGCCTTTGCTTGAGAAGGTACTGAAACAAAAAGTCACACAGTACAATATGATATTTTGGTTCAAGGGTCATCCATCAATTAAAGGGCATGTTTAAGATAATAAGAATACATTTAAAATCTTGTATTGCTTTTTTCTACATGTTCCTTCTGCTTTCATTAATTATAAAAAAAAATCTGAATTCATTATACACGTATTAAAATGATTCTTTTAGTCTCTATCTTTCAGTGCATGATAACCTGAAATAACTTTGTTTCCGTCCTCCGGCAGTTGAAATCGGTTGCTGCTTCTGAAGTGAAAACAAATGCACAGTTTCAACGTTTAAGTTTTATATAATAGTTCAAAATAGTATAAAGCAGTCAAAATAAATATATGATACTTTAGAGTTGCAGAAGATCCGTCATTTATCTAACATTGATAAGACAATAGTTATACGTACCTTTCAATCTTGATCACAACTCCTTAAAAATAATAATTAAAATTTGTAAAAATGAAGATTTGGATACAGCTTACCAGTATATTTTTACGTTTGCTTGATTTTCTTCTTTAAAGAAAATAGGCAAATTACCGGAGTGACTATAAATTAATTTATTAAGTAACTATCTAATGTATTTCAAAGCTATAATCTTAAAATAATCTTATGGCTATTCTTCAGTGTATATCTCTGCATTTAAAACTAAACATAAAAGACTAACCAAATATTGTCAATTCTCCTCTTCTGAAGATCACTATCACAAGAACAATTACTGTGATTAAAATTAAACACAGAAAGAAGGATAAAACGACTACAGGGGTAGTACTATCCGATTCAGATGGCTTTGTGTGTTGAGCTGTTTGATGAGCTGAAATCAAAGAGAGGAGATGTTTTATGTGTATGAAAGTTTGAAGTATTTGAATGAATAATAGTAATATTTTAAAATTTAGACCTTCTTTACCTCATGCAAAATTGTTTCTTTATTATTATGTACAGCTGTACCATAAGTGGGAAACTACTTTAACAGTTCTTAGATGAAATAGAAGAATAAAAAAAATCGTAACAAAAAAAATGCTCTTCTTTCGGCAAAATACAAAATTCTACTTAGACAAACTCCATCTATATTTGAATAAAACAATTTTTTTTTTAAATTCACCAAAATTTAAAAAATACATATTTACCATTTATCCGAATTGTAAGACTTGAAAAATTTAATCCTGATCCACAGGGACTGGAAGAGGAAGTAGAAACTTCACAGATAAAATGAAGAACCTTGTCGAACTCCGTTACATGATAGGTAATTCGACTGAACATTATCATCTCTCCGCTTTTATTTGTTGAAATCTTTATTTCGCCTTCTTGTGTGACAACCTTTGTCCAGTTAGCATTATCTGTCTTTTTAACGCACCATTTTATCATCTAAAAGATTAAAGGTGAGAAAGAAATAGGAAATTAAAAAAGCATATTCACATCTATAAATAAACCTTTTCTTAGCTAAAACCATAATCTCATTTGGTTTTGATTGATAATTCATGGGGGTTTGGAATTCATAAGGGGGTACAACCGATAATGAAAATGTAAAAAAAATATAATTAACTACCTATCTGTCAAAATCTTATTCTACTCCCCTTCAATTTATTTAGTGCAATCATTTACTCAACCCTTCAAAATCATTAGCCTTTAGTACGTCTATAAAGGCTGAAACATTACAAAACTTTCAAACTCTACCATCCATTTACTCTCATAGATACTTGATCAGAGAAAAAAATGACAGAAGTCAATCAGTTGGTTTGTTTGAGTGTTTTCAAAAAATCATTTACAAACCTCACTAAATTTTACTAGAGGGTGAACATTGAGAAAAGCTAGGTACACAACGCCCGAATTATCGAGTAAGAGTAAGACTTTTTAAGAGTTTGACAAGCTTATAAAAATATATCAATCGGTTTATTTCCTTGTTTTCATGAATGTAAATATAATGTTAATTGCTGTCTTATATACCCCGGTATAAATTTATTGGTTTCAGTGGTTATGCTTTAACAGGTTGCAGATTGAATAATCGCAAAGATGGCGCCTTTACGCGCCAATGTCACCAACATTATTTAAATTCCTCTCTGATGATTAAAAATGTTCTACAAGGGGAAAAAAATAAGAAATAAACAATCTAGATACTAAGCAGATATCGAAAACGGTGTGCATAAAGTTATACCGAAAAATGTTTTTGCATAACCTGTCATTAATAATGTGCACGTGGCCTCTGTTTTTACTTCTTAATCATTTCAATGTTGTCAATAGTGAACATCGGTTCTAGTGCACATTAACCAGGAAGCACATTTTCCCTTTTTCATTATATCCAACCACGCGATAAAAAACAATTCGGTATTTTATTGTTCACTTACAATATATATGTAAGTTGTCTTAAAATTTGAAAATTTCTCTGGAGGGACTTTAAACAAGAAACAAACACACAACATACAATAAATGGTAGTATACCTGTTCGTTAGACGCGAATGAGGAAGCACTACACGACAGATGAATTGTTCTACCAATTCCGTGAGTGTTGAAATATTGTTCGTCAATAGCCCCATTTTCGTCGTACATAAAGATAGGAGATACTTTCCACCGCACATCTGCTTTTCAAAATTAGATAGATAGTGAGAAAGTGAAGAACAATCATAAAGTAAATTTACAGATAAAACACTTTTCAGCAGACTCATAATTGTTCGTAAAATAATCACCTTCAATCAAAGTTTTTGTGTTTATGAATAACGTCGAATTTGCACTTCCTTTTCCACATTCACGTGTGTATTTGTCGTAGCCCGACTCACACATTATTTCTAGGTATGCATCACTTTTCATGATGTGGTAAAAGATCGTCGATTCCTGTACATTTATGCATCCATCTCTGCTGCTAGATACTACTGAGGTGATTGGAGGGTCTTGAAGGGATATTTCAGAAAATTTTTCAGAAATATTTTTGCACCACCTGATGTTCTTTTAAGAAAGTTAGAATTCCCTTTTTAAGTTTGAAAAATGTAATTTTAATCATTTTAAATTCAAAAGGTATCATTCATTTCATTTATTCATCAGATATGATTTACTTTTATACAATGTATATGGAATGCTTTTTGTAGATAAGTTACGGAAATGGTAAATTAGACTATAAAGTTTTTAAGTATTTCAAAAAGTACGATAAATGTGTAGGTATTTAAGGTAGAATTCTTTTCTGGTTTCTGACTAGATGAAATATTCAAAGTTTATTTGCTTATATGTCAAATATTTAGACGAAAGATATTTTAAAGACCATATTTATCTTTCCTCATCACGATTGTAAAACTTAAAAAGGAAATGGTAAACTGCCTTTTAAATTTAGCAGAGACTATACTTTTGACGGAATGTTGGCGTATGTAAATAACTTCTTTTCTGCCTCTCAAAATTTTAAAGAACAATGAATTTAATTATAATTTTTTTATAATGAAAGACTTGAAGAAATTTTCAAATGTAAGTTAAATTAATAATTAGAGATTAAAGTTTCAAAATATATCAAATAAATACGACTTTTCAAACAAACTAGAACTATGTTAGCTTTTAAAAGCTTCCAATCGAAGCACAGATTTGTGCCAAATATCCCTAAGAAAGGTGTTTTATCTCTCTTAGTAAACGATCAGAACTTTTTGTTTTTGTTTCAGTTTGTGTCTTTAACTTAACCATATGTAAAAATAAGAATTATTCAAATATAGGAAGTATATAAAAATAACTAATTTATCCTAAAAATTTAAGAAAAGTAGAGAAAATTTAGATTATCCAATATTATTTTAGTTAAATTATTCAGTTTTGGTAACATCATCTTATAGGCCCTATATAATGCATGTAGTATCCTTTTATGGAAAAAGAAAAACATTCAATCTTTTGAAATGCATGTAGGGATCACATGATTGGCTACAGTAATTTTTACTCTTAATGTAGAGGGAAAAAGTAATGTCTTGACTTGACCTAGCCTCTAATATAAAACGGTCAAACTTAATCTCACTTATATCAACACTTAGTGATATCTGTGAAAAATTCATTAATTTTTAAATACAAGAAATAAGAGAAGAATCCTACCTTAATAAAATCCACGTAAATAAGTGTAAAAAATGGTATCATTAAAAACAAACAGAAATAAGTTCTAAGTTTTCATTTAGTGTATGAAATGTCAAAATGAAACACATGGTACAAAGTCGTTGATAACTCATTATATGCTTTAATATTGAAATTTTATTACGTGTACTTCGAAAAACAAAGTTTATTTTCTAATGTTCCACTCCATTTATGGAACTCACAAAATGTAATGAAAAGGTAAACATTGCAAACAGTGATCGATCATTTAAAAATCTACAAACAATTTATAATTCTGTGAACAGGGTATAAAACAGGGATGAATAGAAATCAACAGGTATATGAGATGCCTAAGGGAAGTAATCACCTTTTTTTTTTGAAGAAACCCCCCGAGCTCACTAAGTATTGAATATATACGAGATCATTCCAAAAGTTTGTAGAATTTTGTCATAACTTTTATATCTGACGTCATATTATAACCAAATTTACTACGGATATTTTAACAAACAATTCATATAATTTGAGCAAATAAAATTGGAAAATACCTTGATAATTATCAAAATTATCAAAGATTTAAGACAGCAAAAATTGGGTCATGGATCAGTGTCAAAGTTGAGCTATATACTAATAATACACTTTATAATATCTAGAGTCATACCTCTTAAAAATGGCGCTTAAACGAAATAAAATTGAAATGTTTAAATTTAGTATTGTTCTATTACTTCAGATGCTAAAATTTAATGCAAAACATCGCTTCTATTAAAAGATAATTTCTAAAGGCAGATAGAGTAGACTTCATGAAAAAAAGCAAAATAAAAAAACCGATAACTTTGAAGGACGTCTTGGAGCAGCAAGTAGCGATAAAATTTTGTTTTGCATTCTGAAAACCTTTAAATCAAACTCAGACAATGCTTAATGAACCAGGAAATAGATACAAAAAGTAAAAAATAGATATAAACTATTTGTTTATAATAGGAATGACTATTTTTTGAGTGTTAGAGACTTTGAATCGGACCACGAACGGTCTGTAACGAAACAAATAACTGTGAAAAAAGTCTTGTCGAAGAGTTAGTAACGTTATGAAACACGATGTGCGATTCATTTTTGCGGAACTTGTATAAACAAGAGTTATGTGTAGATAAAAAATTTGAAAACATTGATAATACAACTTAAGGTACTCAAATGATTGTTAGCGAACTAATTGTCAAGGGCTACTATGGATAAGATTTTATGAATTGGGAAGAAGCTACAAACCGCGTATGAAATGAAAAGGCAGAATAATTTTGAGAAACTTTCTCGACGTTGTTTTTGACGTCACAGAGTTGTTAACCGTGCTCCCTGGTGACGAAACATGTTGCTTTTAAAACTATCTAACATGAATTCCATTTAATTAAATGGAATGAAACTTTACACACTGACAAAATAAATGTTTTTACAGAAGAAAATGTGTTGATCTAAGATCTGAAGATGTGTAAGAATAATATGATGACGGAGGACATTGTCTACGTATTTTTTGAATGACCCTCGTAGATGGAACATATCTAGATAAATTCTATATTTAGAAAAAAATTAGACCTAGGATTTGGTATTAAAAAATCATATTACATCAACAAGAGCACTGTAAGACCAAATAATTGACGAAATGATGACTTTCAATACAATTCGTTGACACCCCTACATCAACTTATTTGACAGACGTCTCTTTTCGACTAATGATTACACCCAGACCATAACTCTGAGTTTCCAATGAGTGCTGAATACTAAAATACCTTAAACAGATGATAAAAAGATGATAAGGAAATATCACTCTATAAATAACGATGGTTGATAATATGAAAAGCTGATCGTCACCTCCTTTGTGACACAATGTAGTCATTAGTTGATCGTTATCGATTAGAGTTAGTAAAACTTCCAAATAATTTTTATTTATTTATTTACTTGGGGGGGGGGGGGGGGGGTACAATTTGCACTATCCCGGAAATTCTTCTTTAAAAAAGTTAATAACCTCATTTATAAAATAAAACAAACGTTTAACATACTTGGCTAGGAAGACCGTTTATGCTTTCAACTTCTCCGATGCATTTAAGCTGTACCACATCTCCTGGTTTTTCCCCGCTGCTTTTAATAATAGTTAAGGCCTGAATTTTCTTCGGAGATTGACCTATATAATTATTAAAAAATAATACGAGATAAATGTTAATTTTGAAAATTGATTTCTGGTTATATATTCCTAACAGAAACTATCGTTCTAGCAACATACTTTTTAATTTGGCCAGGTAATATGTATATTTGAAAAAGTTAGATTATTAATTAACTTCTATTTAATGATTTTACTTAGGTGTAACATTCTTGATTAGACATATTTTGTAGTTTTGTTATATTTAAATGGTCGATGATGCAAGCGTCTTCTTTTGCTGAATTAAATGGAGATTGTGCTATTTCTTTTTGCATATTATGTATCCACTTTTTTATTTCATCATGTCTTTATTGAAAAATCTCACCTTTGGTCGATACGATACTTTTCTCTAGACTTTTGAACATCTCACTCCCGTTGGACACTCTACATCGGAAGATGGAGTAAAGGTTTGGGTCAATTGAACATCTGCTAAGAGTTAAAGACGCAAAAATCTGTATCCTGCATGCAATATACTCTTCAGGATCAGGATAACATCTATCAGACGTGATAAGATAAATTTCAAAGTTCTGATCCGTTTTGAGGATGTAGGATCCTGTGACGTTAGTCTTTGCAACTTCTTTCCAGTCTTCTCTAGTGTTGTTTTGTCGGATTTCCAGAATCATTTCAGGAATTATGTTATCTTCATTGATATAATCATCAAAGTCGCAGGAGAGAATAACATTATTTTCCCCGATTGTAGTTGACAAGCTGGCAAACAAACTCCAGTGCCCTGTATGCATACTAAAAACTTCAAGAAAAAGTTCCAACTGAAACTTTTTTTTTCTAACAATGCATGAAATCTTAAATTGAAAAAAAAAGTTGACATACCTTGACAAAATGGACAAATCAAGAAAAACAAGATCACCTCATACATGTACATAGCTGAATCAAGGAAGTGAAATAAATCGCTATGTCCTTGAACTGCACTGTTGATAAAAAAATATCTTTGTAAATGATTTAAAGGGTTTTTAAGATTTAAAGAAGGGCGGCACTGGTAGTTCTAAGTATGGAAGATATGCTTCTGAAGCCGGCTCTTTGGATCATCATACATAGATGTACTACAAATTTAGCGAAAACCGTTTAAGGTTTTCAAACACATCAGATAATTCTATAAGTATATTTTTATTAACTGGGAATCATGTAAATGATTAACACATTCAGTGCATTTGACTAGCTCTTTGATACGAGTCATGAAGATAGATCATATAATTAGTTAAGTTTGAGCTTAAAAATGTTTTAGAATAAATTGTCTTTTATAGTTATGATTAGTTGTTGATAAATTAACTTTTCTGACAACTATTTCAGATGATTTGAAGGTAATTAATTAAGGTCTTAAAAATTGAGCATGTTGCCTACCTGGTCAATTTATAAAGTTTACATACATTTTTAACCACCAGGTTGTTAGCTAGCCTGTTATTCAATTATTGATAGATATTTATTTCACAATGCTAGCATCTGCAATCTGATTATACAGCATGTGTTTGTTTATTCTTTGCAGTCATCTACCAAAAGTTTTGCGAAGTTATATGCTCAATATATTGATGACTTTCACTACACATGACCATACGGTCTTATTTGACGGGGAAATTTCGGACGAGAATTGTTTTTAACTTTCCCTATCCTCAGCCACAGACCTACTTTATGAAATTTAGTGAGACTTTCACAGTATCTTAGTTACATCCGTAGTTCCATTTTGTTCTTCTCTTTTACAATTTGATCCGATACATATTTTGGGTTTCCCATATTAAAACATGAACACTGTCATTCTTTCTAGGATGTTTAAAGGTACTCATCTCTATCTGCAAGTCCTCCTATACCACTAAATAAAATTTAATAATAATTTCACATATTTTTTACATTATGCTAATTTGCACTTCCTATTTTACTTTTTGATTCGAAACTTATTTTGAATCTCTAAGAACAAAGCACGGACGTCGTCATCATAATCATAAGAGAGGCAGGGGTATCATTGAGTAAGCTCAGTGCTCACAGGCCTTCAATCTAGTTTTACTATATTTATCTAAAAATCTCAACTGGTAAAAAAATTAACATGTTGGCATTTGATATTGTTAAATCTTAGTCTTTTTTCTCTTTAATTCAATTAAAAAGCAATTATATTTGACACATAAAAAGCGTACAAAAGAGATTTTATCTAATATATATACAGAAGCCATCTAAGTTGTGAAAATATGCAAATTTAATTTACTTTTTCAAGGAGGAATTTATTTTTATAAGCTTTAATCATAAAAACAAACCTAACTTTGTGAACACTGAATAATTTGTAACCAGCTCAGTAGGATACTAGTACTGAAAAACTTCCTTATTACAGAATATCCTTTATATCTCAATTTACATGTATTTAATAAGTGGCATTCAAAGTTTGACTCTCTCTCTCTCTCTTTCTCTCTCTCTCTAAACTGCAAAAAACAAGTATCTTTCAATTAGAATAAGATACCACGTTTAAGACATATTTAAGTTAGTGAACTATTTTACTTAGTAGGTAAAAACTATTTAAACTACCTTTTCTTGAGTTTTGTGTGCGTGACCATTTTAAATGGAATATAAAACATAGATAACTGTAATCCAATATTACGTGCTTCATCATTTTTTTGTCACCAGTACATGTAGATTATGAATATCTGGAGGTTTGCAACCAAACATGCTTTCGTCGGAGTAATATTATTATTTATTACATGAACAGTAATCACCCCTTAAATGTATGTCAGTTCGTTTAGGGAAGTTATCTACCTAGAGCTTGTCTTGTAAACTACATCCCTTGATGCATCATTCCGATTTAAATCAAATGAATTTATATTAACTTTAGAATGGGTCTGCTCTATTCATATCTGGAAAAATAGGAAGATTGGCAACGATGATATGTCATCTACAATGTATTTAGTTCAAACATCACCCATAGTTACGAAAATCTAGACCTACCCAAAACATTAATCCTTGGTTAATAATCTAAAAAATATGGAATAAATCATCTCCTTTATCAAGTTTATGGTGTACATTCCAACCATGTAAGGCATCAAAGGGCTTAAATTAAAATCTATTGAGATGTTCCTCTTCGACAAACCTTACACTTAGAAACTTAAGATCGGAAGCAGCATCTTAACAAGACTAGTTGTAAATATCCCATGATTTTATCATCCAGGTAGTTTTTTCATAACAGAGATATAAGTTACCTGCAATTAGTCGACGCCCTGTCCAATAAATTTGAAAATTGTATACACACCTGTAAAGAGTATGTCATATCTCAATCATCATAAATAGTGATTATATGTCGGGTCACAAAAAGAACTTTGGACAGATTAGATAATATGTAGGATGTTACATGTAACATTTATAAGGGACATAAACCATCAAAAGTACAATAAATGTTGAAAGATATTGAAATAGTGAAAAATTTGCAAAATTATCATAAAATACTTTGGACCTTTACATGAACATCCGACTTTAATGCTTCTCGATTAGTTAAAGAGTGTGACCCCATTGGACAGCAATGTATCATTACTTTCTTAATTTATACCCTTTTCCTTGAGGTTTAAGGCTTACGTATTAATATCAGACCCCAAGTCCACCTCATTTAAACAACTTCAATATTCGACTTGACTGACGTGAAATACTTGCACTCTTCGTCTTAACTGATTTCAAACATTCAGACTACAAATCGACAATAACCGTGTGTCTCAATCTATCTTATTCCTGTTGGGCTTAACTAAACAATAATGTTTTATGTATATTATTTATCTGTAGCCTGTTTATACATTTTCTTTGTCTAATTTTTCATCTGGTGAAGCTTTATACAGAATATAGAAAGAATTAATTCCTTCCTTCCTGACTTCATATTAACTTTTATCCACTGAATTGTTTTGATATTCCTTACAAAATTTGTATTTATGGAAAGTTCAAATTGAGTTAAGGGAATGAAAAATATATTTTTTTAATGCGCTTAGATTACATGTATGTCTTTAACAGGAGTGTAATAACAATGCTAATATAAAAAATTTCTCCGTCAGACCCTGGTAAAATATATTTTTTCTACGGTTGTGCTACCTGCTAATTCCATTGCTTTTAATTAACACATGAACACTTACCTAAATAGTAAAACGTATGATCTATAGTTTGCTTTTTGGAAAGAAAATTTAATGCTGACACAATTTATGTTTTGAAATTCATCGAGTACATTAAGCGGTATACTTATGGCCTTAATACAGAATCTTTTTTTTTTTTTTTAAATAATCCCTCGAATTGTTAACGAGAGATGCATATTCCATATAAACTTCGTCTATCTAATGTTTATAGATTCGGGAAAATGAACTTGCACATTTACAATTTTTTAATCAGACACGAACATCGAATCCGAGAATGACACTCAGCACATTCTTTTTTTCTTCACCTTATCAGGGTGAGGGTTAAAAGGAGATGACACATCTAGGTTAGCAATAACAAACTTTTGATAGATGAAGAAAAAAAAAGGAGAAAAAAATATTCATTTATTTTTATTGAACGTGACACAAAATGACAATTTTAAAACATATTATTGTTATATTTAATAGTGAAAACACAAAGGAAATGTAAAAAAGAGGAATATACTTATAATTTTCATAATACTGTATAAATAGGGTACCCTTCTTTTCGACCTCAGTACATTTATTCAGAAATACTCTACACATGTTTAGAAAATGAGTTCTTCTGAATCTGTTCTTGAGAAGTTCAAGACTGACGAGGTAATTGTGTCCTCAGGAAAAGGAAGATCCTCTTTGAAAGCTTTACTGAATATCTCAGCCAGATCTTTTCTGTTGATGATCATTAATCCTTTATGGATTCTACAATAAAATATAAACTTTTTAACACTGATGTTATTTGTATAACTTCCTGTTAAAAATATTATAGTTCATTGATACTCTGATCAAAGAGATAACTCTTAATGACATACTAGTATATATCTTTTATTCTTTTATAGATTATCCAAGTTGAAGTGTCTTTTTTGTCTAATTTCGCCTCGCAAGCTCTGCTATAACTGTTTGTATTTTACTTAAAGAATATACATTTTATTTGGAAAATCATAGATTATGGAACGCCGTCTCTGCCTTATCTGGAGAACTTTAATTATATGATGGTATTTTGTCATTATATGATGGTATTTTGTCATTATATAATGGTATTTTGTCATTATATGATGGTATTTTGTCATTATATGATGGTATTTTATCATTATATGATGGTACTTTGTCATTATATGATGGTATTTTGTCATTATATGATGGTATTTTGTCATTATATGCTGGTACTTTGTCATTATATGTTACTACTTTTCATTATATGCTACTACTTTGTCATTACATGTTACTACTTTTCATTATTTGCTACTACTTTATCATTATATGCTACTATTTTTCATTATATGCTACTACTTTGTCATTATATGCTACTACTTTTCATTATATGCTTTACTCATTATATGCTACTACTTTTCATTATATGCTTCTGCTTTTCATTATATGGTGATACTTCAACATTATGGGTCCGCAGATGATCGATAGATTTGTAGAAGAGAGAATAAATGTTAAATAATACATAAAGAAAATATGTAAACGTTTTTATGCATACAAATTATATAGTATGTAAATGAGGTTTTCCTTTTTTTTTAAAAAAAATATATATACTTCATTTTGTTGTTTTTAATCGAGATTTTACGAAAACATCGTTGTCCGTTTTTGGTTTTAACATTTATTACAGAGTACTAAATTTACCGCTTTTTGGCAGGTGATTATCATACTGCTGATTCAGTAATAAATATGCATGTCTCCTAAAGTTTTTATGCATTAATGAATTCATCTAAACCTAGAAAATGTTATGGAAAATTTGAATAAATTCTGTGCAACAATAAAAGGAAAACCCTAAAAATCCGAAATCCGGGACTGTCGGGAGTCTGGAAGACTAGATTTACCGCTTGCCCTTAAATTTGCCACTGGTGTTTGAACTTCTCTCGGTTTTGCATTTGACCATTTCTCTTACACGAATTCGATCGCCAATAGTAGTAATTCCAGAACTGCTCAATTGCTCATCGCTCAAGCTTAAAATATTTTCAACGTCTCTTCTCTCTTCTACAAATCTATCGATGACCTGCGGACCCATCATTAGTTCTTTGAGGATGCTTTTCAATGTGATCGCGTTTTCACAATTTTGCGCCATTTTTTTCCCTTAAACAAGTGTAGTACTTAACGGTATCCCGATCCCGATGTTATACCTACTGAATAATGGCAAAGTACCAGCATATAATGTTAAAGTAGTAGCATATAATGACAAAGTAGTAGCATATAATGAAAAGTAGTAGCATATAATGAAAAGTAGTAGCATATAATGAAAAGTAGTAGCATATAATGTAACACAATTGACGTTATGAAAATTATTATCATTTAATTATTACATAACTATAAACATATTTAACTTATATTCTCTATCAGGTGAAGGTTCTTATATTGTCTTCTATTTATTAATGTGTTTACTATGTATAGATATTTGTTTGTTGTTTAAAATTCGGACGTGTGTAAACAGGGCATAATACTCCCTGTACGTCCAGTGTTTATGGGTGAGGATTATTCCACCTGTTATGTTACCCTCACGACTTTGGCATAAAGTGATCGTTGAACCACCCTTCGGTCGCAATATTACTTCTGATGGTCATTCATCTATTGCAATATTACACCTGACGGTCATTGATCTACCGCTACTATGGCCATAAAATGTCAATAGTACTGACTGATCAAATGAGTGGACAATGGCTGAGGAAAAGTTAAAGACTATATAGCTCTAAAATTGGACTCTCTCTACACACAACGCTCTACTATACGACAAGGAACAACACTGACGACATACCTTCCCTGTACTGGTGATACTAGTGACAAGTTAATACTAGAACTGAAATTATTTTAGTATTCATTTTTTCTAACAGTGAGCTTATTAAGACTGTCAAATTCTACACACAAGTATATATTTATATATTCGGACTGGCTGATTGTTTTACTTGAACTTTTTTGTTTACTTACGTACTTCATTAAAAACTTATATAAACCCCATTGCACGTTGTTGTGTTATAATAATGAAAAGTAGTAACATATAATGACAAAGTAGTAGCATATAATGACAAAGTAGTAGCATATAATGAAAAGTAGTAGCATATAATGACAAAATACCATCATATAATGACAAAGTAACAGTATATAATGACAAAATACCATCATATAATGACAAAATACCATTATACAATGACAAAATACCATCATATAATGACATAGTACTAGTATATAATGAAAGTTCTCCACATAAGGCAGTGACGGCGTTCCATAATAAATGTTCAAGCTATATATTATGCGAGTGAGCAGAGGTTTATGAACCTTAGGAACATCATTTTTTTCACTTACTTTCTGATTCTTACTCTACTATGCTTTGATCCTCCCAACAAACGTAGCAATCTAAAGGTCAATTCTTTGGCAGGATTTTCTGCTTCAAAGAGTTCCTGCTTTATGGAGACCGGGAGGCCCATCTATAAGGCGAATAGACCCGCCTCGTCCAAAGTAAAGCATTTACAGAGGGCGTTTATACTGGAAGGGTTCAAAACGGAAAATGTAACTAAAATATAAAAGGAATTACAATTTATGAGATTGTATATTAGCATGAAATTTTAACAAAATAAGATAAGTAAAACAAAAATGAAAAGGAAAGTGGGTATACGTTTGAAATATATAACGCTTTGAATTTTTCTCTTATAAATATTTCATAATCATTTTAAAGTAATATTCCGAAATAGTTTTTGTTTTAGCGAACGAAAGATCTGAAAATTGAATCAGATAAAAAAGGATATTTATCAACTTTATCTTCAGCACAACTTTATTTATTTTCGTGGGAATTCGATTAAAAGACAGTTTTCTACAAATGGACTTCATTAAAATGTTATGTAAAATCTTGGAAACAAAAAACTTCCATCGTCTTATAGTGTTAGGTATTTAAGTACGCTTATCAATTAAGACCAATTTATTTTATTTGAATGTCTGATTTTAGTTGAACCTTTCTTTATCTTCTACAATTCCTTGTTTAAAAACATTGCGAATGACACAAATATTCAAGAAAAATACTTCTTAAGCAAAAGACTTACCGGTACTTTCAGTATTTTCACTTGCAGCCAAATTTTTGAATTTCTCTTTCTTCTTTCTTCGCCTCTTCGGAAAACTCTGAAAAAAATGTAACAAGTCATCAGAACATGATAATTCGTTACTGTAAAACATATGCATTTAACACATTGCAAATTTACTGATTACTGTAAACTCGTATTTTCGCGAAATAAAAACTTGAGCTTTAATTCTAAGATTTTATTTTATTTCTTTTTAACTGCATTTCATGGATGAACAATTTGTAAGATTAAATTCATTGAAGCTAATTATAAACTAATACTCTGAAATTCAACATCTTGTGAAAGACATGGTTCCATGGATGGATTTATACCAAGTAAAAATAATAATATAACCAAATAAATATTCTATCATAATGTATTTAAACAGGCAAATAGTTGTTTGGCTGTATGCTAAGCCACTTATACGTATTTATGTGATAAATAATTTCTCCTTAATTTGGACCCATTTTAATTGTTGGATGTATAATAATTTTAGATATACGAACTCTTATATTTTGTAGTATTTAATGAGTATTCGAGCTTTAATACATCTATTTTATCTTTCAAATCTACGTTCGCAGAGTAAAAGATAGCGAAAATGATTGATGGCGATGGGGTAAGGACAGAAGCATAAACCACCAGAAATTTTGAAGGTACGATCTGGTGCCTCTGAGGAGCAAAAATCATCCTCTGCTACCAAGTTGCAGCCACCGAACCCTTCCTATTAATCAACTAGATTTAACATTTTCGAACTGCCAGTCTAGCAAAAAAACCTAACTCTTGCTTTAAAACAATTACGGGTAATTAAAAAATACTATATGCGGATTTAGAGAGTCCCTTAATGGGTCAAAAGTTAAAATAAATATATAACTATGTATGAGGCGCTAGGATTGTCCCAGAAAAAAAGCGAACATTTTGAATATTTCAAAAATTTTTCAACCAAAACCAATACTTTTGGCATGTACAGCTGTACATGTAGTTGGAAAATGATTTTTTTAACAAAATGATAAAAGACTGTGGTATCATATGCATATAAAGGCAACATTTAAATGGTGTTAAATGTCGGTGGTCAACGCACATTTTTTTATTTTGAAAAAAGCATGTAAACGGAATTTCCTTAATTATTAATTTATATGGAAATATGTCACAAAATTTACCTCATTTCTAAAATTATTATGAAACACGTACATGGAGACAACATCTGATGTAATTGTGTATAAAAAATTCACTAATGACAAATTTCCGACAATGTATTTCATCATGTCCCACAGTACTTTAAACTAGAGGTTGTCAAAATTGTTACGATAATATGGAGCATCAAATTATCAAGCATCACTGTTTTGAACGGGATATGACTCCCATCCATTTGAAAAAGAGATTTTAGCTATGGAAAAACCTAACTTTCGGGAAAGGTTTATCCCGAGTTGAAATGTTTCAGGTTGACTTGATTGGTTATCCGATAGACGAGAATGGACCAATAAAATGAAGACAAACTGAAGAAAACAGAAGCTGGACGTCATAAACGTACCTGAAAGCAATGCGATCAGTAATTAATATTAATAATCGGGATTAGCAAAAAATCTATTTCAAGAATTAATTCTGTATATCTTTTGGTGATGAAATTGTTATATTAGTAGTAATTAAGAGTAGTTTATAAGCAAAGAGAGTCTTAACTTCATTTTAATTTTTTAAAAATATGCAAAATAAAAAATACATGTTTAACTATTGTTTCATTTAGGAGCGTTAAAAACCCAAAATGTCATTACTCATCGAAAACTTTGAACATATCTGTAGTACAAATATGTATACTTTCATTTAGATTTATCAGTATCATATAGTAAGAGATGACATGATTGTTTAAAGCTATTTTGGTAATCCATCCTCACTATCTCAAGCAGCTGCTCATCTTTTACATCTTCTGGCTTAGAGATGGCAAAACTTGTACTATTAGGTGCCTGGAGTGGAAAATAGTTATTTTTTAGTACACATATGTTTTAAATCATAACCCCACCCTCCAAATAAAAACACTATATATATATATATATATATATATATATATACACACACTATTAAATCACACCTTCCCCTGTCTCCTTATGTTCAAGAGCTGTGTAGCATATACGTATTGGTCTTTGTCACCAAATGTATTCTTAGATGTTAATGGCGTGAAACCTCCGTCAAATACTGTCACTGTGTTTGTGCATAAAAAGAAATAATGACTGATTCATTTGATTTTTAATTTTTTAATTTTTTTTTCTGAATTTGTTTTGATATGTATAGTACAACTCTGTGTAAACTGACCTACCCTTTCACAACAAACACAGATTACTGATAGAACAACTGTAAATACAGATTCTTAAACATTTTAAAATTCATCGAATTTTTTTTACCTACGTTTAAAACGTTATGGTAAGGATATCGGATGGTCTGCAGACGGGCCGTCATGATTTACAATTTGTGCAGAACAAATATGAGAAAATTTTTTTGCGTGGAGATTTTACGAATTAATCTGGACTGTTGTTGCTGATCTCTCCTTTTCTGTGTCGCTCGGAACTCCATTGGGAATGATGATTCGTCTTCTTACAGTTTTACCTCTAAAATTGCTGCATTTGCAATAATTTTTCTGCGACCGATATCCACAAACAGCGTTTATCGTTCGACTTTTCAGCGCATACGCATTAAAACGTAATAAAAAAGTCCCGTTCAGGGAAAAAACTCACCTTATTGAAATGCGAAATTGAAGTTAATAATGGTAAACTTAAAAAAAGTGTATATCTTCTTTACCTCCTGTAAATTATTCTGTAAATATGTATCACCATTCTGATATTGACTGAAAGGTTCTTAGCTTAAATTGAAGAAAACAAAATTTCTTTGTATAAAAATTCTTTCGGCAAACTACACTGATTTTTAGACAAACTGTATATTTAATTGAACGAGCACATTTTCATTATATTTTTCAAAACAAAAATAAAAATTACATCTTTACCATTTATCCGAATTGTAAGACTTGAAAATTTTAATCCAAATCCACAGGAGCTGTTATAGAATTTAGAAACCTCACAGGTAAAATGGAGAACCTTGTCGAACTCCGTTACATGATAGGTTATTCTACTGAACATTATAATCTCTCCACCACTTTCATTTGTTAAAAGCTTTATTTCATCTTCTTGGGTTACAACTTTCATCCAGTTAGCATTATTTCTCTTTTTAATGCACCAGTCTATCTTCTGAAAAGAAATAAAAATGGAAAAGACATCCAAATTCATAAATAAACCTTTGTTTAGTCTAAAAGTATAATCTGAGTTGGTTTTCATTGATAATTAATCGAATAATGAAATTAATATGGGGCTTCAACCAATAATGAAATTAAAAATCTCTTTAACTACCCTTGTATCCGTCACAATTTTAATTTCCCCCGTATAAAAATCTTTAGTGCAATTACATTTTTTACTCAGCTATTGGCGGCGGAAATATATAAATATATATATATAATATAATAGCTAACAACTTATTTTTATAAACATATATATAAATACAAAACAAACAACCTTTGAAAATCAACAGACTCGTTTGCAAAATCAACAGACTCCAATGCAAAACCAACGATCACTAATGCATTAAAACCAACAATCATCCACTGAATTGACGCTAGATGGCGTGCAAAAAAAAAAAAAAATCTAGACATTACCTGAATTAAAGCTAGATGGTGCGCAAGTTTATCTACGTCATCATTATTTGTGTACTTTCATAGGAACGTAAATCCCATGAAATTGTCTATCAGCATTTGTCAATTTGGCAAACCTTGAAATGTATTATAAAATATATTACTGGTATCGAAATCATTTATCGGAATATATAAAGGGGATCCAATACTATATAAAGTTTACCCATTTTGTTCTCAGACTGATCCTGTGCAAATATTTAAGGGAATGACTTGTATGATTTAAAGTATAACGAACAGAAATTAGGACAAGATGTATGTGTTCCCATCTTTTTTCTTTCTTAAAAATAGTGATGGGATGTTGGGAAACTATGAACTCCGTTCCATGATAGATTCTACTGTTTTCTCTCCAGAAATTAGGAAAATCAGGGGGCCTCGGGGCCCAAAGCCTCGGGTTCGGGGTGGATGGAGACTCTGGCTGAAATTGACTTTGAGCATTTTTTATGGTCATTTAGAGTACATAATTTTACAGCGTGAAACCATTTTCTGTGTCAGTCAAAATGTCTTTGTGACAGGGTCTACAACGCAAAGATACCACCTTACCTTGTACAGGCGTTCAATTAAGTCTCACCCTTCTAGACGTATAATGTAAGTTTCTTTTACGATTTCAACTATTTAATTGCACATAAACCATTTACCATTTGGATCTGGTGCAAACTAGTCTATGCATGAATTTATCATTTATCAGACATAAGCATTTTCAGAATTTAATTTTACAGTTCTGTATTATATAATTCATACAAATATACAGGCGCAGATGCAGTATTTTTTCCTTAAGGGGGGGGGGTCCATCATAGTAAAACATCTAGCCCTGGAGTTTCTTGACATACACAAATAAAACAAAACAAATAAACAAACAAACAAACAAACATCTTTCACAAAAGTGAAAAAAAATACCGTATTTTGGGGAGGGGTTGTGTGGGATTAATTTTCAAAGCTTTATACACAGGAACCTAGTACATTTCATAACCACTTACCATATTCGTGTATTGGATGAGGGGTCACCGTTTCTCTAAGAGGCGTCCAACGTCACTTAAAGTAAACATTGTTAAGTATATGCATTTAAAAACTCTGCAAAATCCAGGGGGGGGGGGGGGTCCGGATCCCCAACGACCCCCCCTTTCATGTTTAAATGCGTAATTATATGACAATAGTTTGATAACATTATTTTTTAGTTATTTTCTAACATGTAGGAACCATATCAGTGCGACATGATACTTCCTAAATTAACTAATTCTAAAAAAAAATTTGAAAGACGTCACTTTGTCGTATAAAGAAAATCAGAAATGGTACATGAGCAATGCAATGCATGAACACAATAAAATAGTTTCATATTATGAACTTTTTATGAGTGTAAGAGGCGTTTTTGTATTCCAAAAGGGATAACGAGATATCCAGGGAAATTTTCTCTTGGGGAAAAATACCAAAATCTACTACTGTTTTCTTGTATTACATTTACAGCCGTTTGTAGATGTCTTGCTGCCTCTGTGTGAATTTCGAGAGTCCAACATGATGCTATCATCCGAGGTAAGCCAAATCGATTCTAATAGACAATTTTGCAGGATTTACGTTCCTATGAAAGTACACAAATATTAATGAGGTAGGAAAATTTAATTTGGGTTATGTCTGTTTTTTGTACGCCATCTAGCGTCAGTTCATTGAATAATCGTTGGTTTTGCATTCAATATTTGGTGATCGTTGGATTTGTTAGCCCTTAGTATATTGACAAAGGCTGAGGCATTCTAATGCTATCAAACTCTGCCGTTCATTTAGTCTCAAAGATGCTTAATTGGAGAAAAATCATTAAAGTTTATCGGTTGGTTCAATTTGATCCGAGTGACTGTTTGCAAGAAACCATTAACAAACCCCGACTAAATTTCACTGGGTGTAAAAAATTATTGAAAATTGGGGATACAAGGCCCACGTCCTCCAGTGAAAGTAAAACTGCTGAATCTGACAAGCTTACAAAGTAAAATATAGCAACCTCTTCCTTTCATTTTCTTTTAGATTGTTATGTTTATTGTTGCCTATAATATGTAAATATATCGGTTTCAGTGGTTTCTAGCATATAGGTTGCAGTTAAGATAATCGCATTTGGAAATATCTAAAGTTAAAAATGGTGCTTTTAAGCGCCACCGTCACCAACATTATTCAAATTCCTCTCTGCCTATAGAAAATATTCTACAAGAGAAAAAATTAAAATAAACTGTCTAAAAACTAAGTGAATATAAAAAAAATGTGTGTCTAGATACCTCTAGTGCATAAAGTGATACCGAAATTTATGTTTGCATAACTAATAAATTAATTAATAATGTGATTGTGTTCTCTGCTCCTACTTAAGCTCCTAAACCCGACATTTCAATGTTGCTATTTGTGAGCTCTGGCATTAAAATTAGTGCAGAGTAATGAGGAAGCATTTATTTTCATAATTTTTTGGCCAAGCAATAAAACCATATTTTTTACTATGTTACCTTTCAATATATATATAATTGTGTTTCCGAAACTATAAAAAAAATCTCGTGAGGGACATTTTACAGTAGCCAAATAAACAATTCACGATATATTACCGGTTCGTTAGATGTGAATGCGGAAGCACTACAAGACAAATGAATTGTCCTACCAATTCCGTAAGTGTTGAAATTCTGATCGACAGCAACACCATTTTTGTCGTACATCAAGATAGGAGATACTTTCCATTGCCCGTCTGCTTTATAAGATAAATGATAATTAGACAGTGAACAACAACAAAAAAAAAATCAAATAAATTGAAAATTAAAACTTGTTCAACTGAACCATGATTGTTTGTAAAATAATCACCTTCTGTCGAATTTTTTGTGTTTATAAATAATGTCGAATTTGCACTTCCTTTTCCACATTCACTTGACAATGTGTATTCGTCATATCCCGATTCACACATTATTTCTAGGTATGCATCACTTTGCATGATATGGTAATTGATCTCCGACTGCTGTACATTTATGCATCCATCTTTGCTGTTAGATACTACTGCGGTGATTGGAGGGTCTTGTAGAGATATTTCAGTGAATTTTCCCGCAATATTCTTGCACCACCTTATGTT